GTCCGTCTGTCACAAAACTTGTCCCAACATGAAATTGGCCATCATGAGGCGACACAAGTGATCACTGATCGCTCTTGTTTTCAATATGGTCTTTTGTAAATTGGAGAGAGGCACTATTTTTTATGCTCCCCAAAAGGAGAGCGTATAGTCGCCGCCTTGTCTGTCTGTCTTGCCCCACCGTTGTCTTGTCCGAAACATAACTTAAACACTAAGAGATAATTTGTTTAAACTTCACGCAGTGGTAGAGGACATCAAGGCAGAGTGCAGTGCACAAGAACTGTAACTCTGCCGTACCTAATTTCGCAGTTTGTTTATTTTTACACTTAGAACTTTGGCCGGAACATTACTCTAAAATTATAAAAGATATCAACATAAAACTTTGTGAGATAGATCTCATTGGGTGGAAGTGCAGTGCAAAAGAATCATAACTCTTCTCAGCCCTGTTTTTGAATTATCTTTCCTTTTAGAAAAATGTTGTACTGGACATAACTCTTAAACTATTAGATAGATTCCAGTGGGTAGCTGTGCAGTACACAGAAAACGTTACTCTGCCATGCCTTAATTTGGAGTTATTGCCCTTCGTTCATTTTTTACACTTTTTCCAGAACATAACTCTAAAATTATTAGGGATATCAACATGAAACTTTGTATGTAGATCTCATTGGGTTGAAGTGCATTGCGAAAAAACCCTAACTGGTTAGCCATGTAATTGAATTATCTCCCCTTTTAGAAAGGTCATGTCTGAGACATCACTCTATAATTATAAGAGATTTCAACATGAAACTTTGTAGGTACATAGATCTCAATAGGTATATGCGCAGTGCACAAGAAACGTAACTGCCTTGCCTTATTTTGGAGTTTTTGCCCTTTGTTCATTTTTACATTTAAAACTTTGTCATGTACATAACTCCATAACGGGTGTCAACAAGAAACATTGTTGATCAATAGGTCTCATTTATTTGAAGAACAGTTACTCTGCCTTGCCTTATTCTGGAATTAATGCACTTTGAACTTTGTCCAGGGACATAACTCTGTAATCTGTAACTACAAGAGGTGTACTTTCCTGTGTCAAAAACCTATTCGGGAAGCATCACCAGGTTCAAACCGGGCTCTTAGAAGAAATTGATATTGTTGGGGCAGAATAAAACCGACATAAAACTAAATCAAATGTTTGTAAGGGTCGATTGATTATATTTTGATGCATTGAATACCTGTATTATAATTGTTAGCTTTAATAGTAATAAAATTTCAGTGTTTACGAAACTGTTTTTGTTTTTTGTTTGGTTTGTGTTAATTTTGTAGCTAAGTTCTAGAGCATTAATCATGTTATACATGTAAAAATATAATCTGTTGCCCATGAAGATGAGAAGTGATATTGGAATAGTATCATATGGATTGTATTTGATTTGCTATACACAAGTGTGTCGTTCTGTCTGAATCACAGAAAATACTTCACTTTTCGTAGCCTTTCACATAGTTGGTAGGGGCGTCCGTGGCCGAGTGGCTAAGGTCGTTGAATTCAAACCACTTGTCCCTCACCGCTGTGGGTTCGAATCCCGATAGGGACTTTGGATTCTTTCATGTGAGGAAGCTATCCAGCTAGCTTACGGAACGTCGGTGGTTCTACTCAGGTGCCCGTTCGTGCCTGAAATAATGCACGGAAGGGCACCTGAGGTCTTCCTCCACCAGTAAAGCTGGAACGTCGCGATATGACCTATACTGTGTCGATGTGACGTAGTACCCCCCCCCCCCCAAAAAAAAAAAAAAAAAAAAAAAAAAAAAAAAAAAAAAGAAACATAGTTGGTGCATTTGAAATCGGATAAAACCATCAAAGTAGTGTGGTTCTGCTTGGTTATGATGGATATGTCATGTAATTGGAAACTCCTGGATTTGTGTTTCTGGTTTAATACGCAAAACTATCTGTATCATTCATTATAATAGGGCCGTACCTTATCTTCTAACTATCTTACGGTGTGAATACTGAAGACACAAAGAAGGCAGGGACTACGAAAGGTATGTTGGCCGTAAAACTCGCTTAAGCTTGAAAGACAGACTGTTTGTTGACACAACAGCTATAAGGGTTACAACAAGTAAGCATCATTGCCTCGGGTAACTCGGGAAAAGGTAAAATCTGTTGTTCAGCTATTTCAAAGCACCATAAATGTCAGCTGAGGAAATCAAAAAAATTGTCATGATTATCGTGAGAATTCTATTGAATTGTAGACACGGCTGCTGTCAATTTATGAAGGAATCTCACTTTCTTTTCTTAAAAAGATGCTGGCTGTATCACAGATTTATATTACGTAATATAAATCCGTGGCTGTATTATAAATCCGCCTAGCTGGTCGGTCATGTATCCAAACAACCGTTCATATAGGACCATATGACCTGTCATTTTTTATAACTAATAATATATATGACTACACGCGGCCAGTTAACAGATGACCGAAGAGGATCAGAATAAATATTGCTCTTGTCAAAGGATACTTCCCTTTTTCTTGTCACAAAGATTTTTGCATTTAATTTATAATACTTTTAGTGGCTATTTAAAACGTATCATAAAGATTGTTTATGACGAAAAACGATTGATAATCACATCATACAGACGAACGAAAACGTCGATTTTCTTTTTGACAATATATGTGTGTACTTTTATAATATAAGTACTTCACCTAATCAATCAGACATACTAGTATTTTGGTTTTAAGCACGTTAGAACGAGTAATCTTTTTACATCATTAAACACATACAAAGGACATTTTTACTCTCAAACATATGATCGTTGCAATTATTATAAGAGGAAAAACATTAACTTGGCTTTTGCCATAACAGTTTCAATTTTCTTTTGTTTGTATTTCTAACATATTTTTATCATACTGACTTCAATTTATTGTGACTTTTTCGGCGAACGGTATCTTCGAACGAAAACAACATTAATTAATCAGTTGTAATTCTATTTTTTTCTTACGTATTTTACGTATTTTTTATTATACAGGTATAAATGTATACTGACATTTTATACTATGTAGCACACTGTCTCTTCCTGAAGAGACCATTATAAAAGTGACTGAAGAGACCAGACTTATGTTTTGAACGAATACATCAATTTGTCTTTTCAAAATAGTTGAACTATAATTTGGTTTGTATTTCTTACGTATTTTTTGTAATTTTCATCATAGTGGTATAAATGTAAATGTAAATTATATATTTTTTGGCACACGGTCTCTTCAAGTAAAAAGTGACTGAAGAGACCAGACTTATGTTTTGAACGAATACATCAATTTGTCTTTTCAAAATAGTTAAACTATAATTTGGTTTGTTTTTCTTACGTATTTTTTGTAATTTTCATCATAGTGGTATAAATGTAAACTGAATTTTTATATTTTTTGGCACATGGTCTCTTCATGTAAAAAGTGACTGAAGAGACCAGACTTATGTTTTGAACGAATACATCAATTTGTCTTTTCAAAATAGTTAAACTATAATTTGGTTTGTTTTTCTTACGTATTTTTTGTAATTTTCATCATAGTGGTATAAATGTAAACTGAATTTTTATATTTTTTGGCACATGGTCTCTTCATGTAAAAAGTGACTGAAGAGACCAGACTTATGTTTTGAACGAATACATCAATTTGTCTTTTCAAAATAGTTGAACTATAATTTGGTTTGTATTTCTTACGTATTTTTTGTAATTTTCATCATAGTGGTATAAATGTAAACTGAATTTTTATATTTTTGGCACACGGTCTCTTCATGTAAAAAGTGACTGAAGAGACCAGACTTATGTTTTGAACGAATACATCAATTTGTCTTTTCAAAATACTTGAACTATAATTTGGTTTGTTTTTCTTACGTATTTTTTGTAATTTTCATCATAGTGGTATAAATGTAAACTGAAAATTTATATTTTTTGGCACATGGTCTCTTCATGTAAAAAGCGACTGAAGAGACCAGACTTATATGTTTTGAACGAGCACATCAATTTGTCTTTCCAAAATAGTTAAACTATAATTTGGTTTGTATTTATTGCGGTTATTTTGTAATTTTCATCATAGTGGTATAAATGTAAACTGAATTTTTATATTTTTTGGCACATGGTCTCTTCATGTAAAAAGTGACTTAAGAGACCAGACTTATGTTTTGAACGAATACATCAATTTGTCTTTTCAAAATAGTTGAACTATAATTTGGTTTGTATTTCTTGCGGAATTTTACCTTTTACACACCCGTACTGTCTGATCATAGTCACCCGTGTTTGCTATTCAATCAGTGCATATTTATTTTATGGACAGGCACAATCATTTTTATCATTCAATAACTGTTAAATTGAAATTTTGAGTATGTTAACACACACTATAAAAGTCATATATATGTAAGAACTATATCCCTTGAATAGCTAAGGATTTAGTTGATGCAACAATGTCTTTTATTTTGAAAGATGCGCGTGTATAAAAGCATTTTGTTTACCTTGTATTCATTTACTTACTTATGCTCGTCTTTTTTGTAACATTGATATAAAGCGTAAAATTAAATTCTTAAAAAGTCATGTCTATAGTATGCTCTTAAAGATACTGCTATTACTTTTCTGGAAAGCCTGGGCTAAACTAGAACTGTTTAGGATAATATGAAACCGATACGATAATTATTTAAAATTTGACGCCGACGACAGGGTGAGTAGAACAGCTCTCGATATATTTCTATAGCCGAGCTAAAAACTAACAGATTTACATTCAAGAAGATGGCATTGATATTTCAAAATAGTATATATATTTATACAACAACAACAACACTTTGTAGTCAAGGCATATATTTATTGGTACAGAGAAATGAGCAAATACGCATGCAACTATCCAGTAAACGGCATCACTCATAAAACAATAATATAAATACTTCCAAATAAAGGGCTCCAAGACATTAACAAGGCACATACGATATTGAGACTTATATGTCTATGGTGGTATTTTAATCACCTTCTCTTATATATAAGCGAAATTCTTAGCACAAAAACGGAAATAAATATTTAACTATAAATGCTACACAAAGCCAAAATCATGTTAATTTTAATCACTTGACATCAACATGAGGACCATGATGGCCCTGAAATCGCTTACCTGAATAGGGATATTGATCTCTTTTCTTGTAAGTTAATGTGTATAAACATTGTTGTAATGAAGTTCACATTCAAATACAAGAAAACAGGAAAATTGTCCATTACAAATTGTAATCACATTTATAAAGAAACTTAGAAACTTTCTCCACTGATGACAGAAGCTTATGTTTATTGGATTCACTTAGAGGTGTTAACTTAACCCCACGAGCTGAATCTGCTGTGAAACGCTTCAGGAGATGTCTTGTGGTAGCATCTTCAAAAAAAGTTCGCTCAGAGTAGCTGAAATGAAGAAGGCATATCACCATATTATCATATTACCACCACACAGTAAACCTTTTGACATAATAAGTAGCCCTGAATTCGCAGTTGCTAATGAAGCGTACAAGGCAGCACAGTCTGAAATTAAAAGATCTGGAAAAGGGTCTGTCGACCATTATCCTAAAATTGAAGACAGTGATCTCGTGAAATTGTATCACAGTGTCTTCTCCAAATACTCAGACAGGACTACTGAATCGGGTTCAAATGAACATCCGCCTCTACTTTTGCAGAAGAGCAAATGAAAACATGTATTCAATGACCAAAGATACATTCAAAATAAAAACGTATCCCAACGGGAAAAAGTACATCTGCAAGGAAGTGGATGAATTAACAAAAAAATCATAGAGATGACAGTGAGCTCATCTCTGGCCATATGCCTGAAGACACTGACTGTGGTGATCTCTGCCCTGTTAGGTAGATACATTTATATGATAATATTCTGTTTGAGACCAAATTTGTAAATGTTAATGAATGAGTGTATACTTGCTACATCTTACATTGTCCCACTTAATGGTCTAAACCATGCAATTATCATTACTCCATTTAAAACTGTAAAGTTATTTTGAATAATTAGTTCAATTACATTAAAAGTTCAATTAAACATTGTATATTAAAGCTGCACGCCTCCAGATGAGCCAAAAAAATCAATATTTAGAAAAATATGGTATACTAAAATTTCAAAAAAAGGTGAAAACATTCAAGATCCAAAGGATATTTACATGCTATAGGCTGTTTAAAACTGCTTTTGCAGTATTTTATCATATATTTGATTTCTACTGCGTTACTTTTGCAGTAAAGGTTGTTTTTGCACTTTTTGGTAGTTTCCTTGGATTGTAAGTGCCGATTGTAATATGTAAATTGCTTTACTTGTTCACCTCACAATATTTTACTTTTAAATACAATTCCAAAATTTTTATGAAAATTAACATGAATCTGGAGGCGTGTTGCTTTAAAATTTAACTTAAAGAGTTTTTGGTTCCTGGTCCCCCTTCATGCAAGGAGAAAAGATATCTATAAATCATTTTCATGGCATGAAGTATTATCTGCTTAATTGCAGGGGTATCATTGGATGCCATCCAACTCATTGTCGCCAGGTTTAATCTAAGATGTCTATAACTAAGCAACACTACTTAACCTACCAAATAAAAATAACCATAGCCAAAGCAAACAATTGCATATATATATTAAAGGCTCTACGTATTTTACGTTTGGGTTGAATAAAATGAAATCAAGTTCACAAATATTTTAAAGATACAGACATTTATTTATTACACAATGCACTGCACTTAGTCACTCACCTCCCATGAAGAAAGCTATGCATGTAGGACCTCAAAACATCATAACCAACAAGATATGTGCCAAGATTGAGCAGACATTTTGATTGTCCTTCAAATACTGCTGCAGCACCACAATCTTGGCAGGGTCTGTAGAACACTGGAAAACAAGAGATATTTGTAAGAAAAAGTGATTGACTATATGGTAAACATGGATGATTTAAGAATAAAGCAATTATCATAGAATTGCAAGCAATCCATAAGTACTCTTCCAGTAAAAACCCAAAGAACATTCTGAAGGGCCACTGACCATTCAATTTTACCAGTAAATGAATGACATGAATGAACTTAAATCTCTTGAGTTCTTTGTTTGTTTGTATCATAGTAATGTGTTCAGTTTCCCTACTTAGAAGGAAATGTTGTATCTACAACAGATAATCAAATGATCCAATTTTCTCAGGATGAATATGTATTACTAATATTTAAAATTTTCTATATTTAAGTAAAGTTTTTGGAAAAGTTTAAAAGTGATCTCAGAAAAAAGTTTTTAGGACGGAACAGACAGACTGACTAAAAGACACTCTGAAGGTAAATCTTTAAACAACCAATATAAATTTTTTTAAAGCAAGATTCTTGAAGAGGAGATACCTCTTGAAATAAAGATGCTAAACTATGAACATTGTCATGCACTTATTAAGCATTTTTCAGAGAAAACCAAATTCAAGTACTTTCAAGCATTATTTCCATTTTTTAAAGACAGTACAAACCCTCATTCAACGAATGTACATAAAACTAGTATTCCATTATAATAAATCTTATTATATAGCCTGTACCTCATATATAAGCGAAACAACGCACTTTCGACCCCTCCCCCTTCTTTAAGGCCTCAAATAGTGAAAAAATGTCCTGTTTGGGCCCCTAGAACAATTTACCTAGAACAATCTGGTCTCATATATCAGATGTGAAACATGAGACCAGTTGAGACCCACTTCACCTAGAACAGTCTGGTCTTATATATCAGATGTGGTACATGAGGCCAGTTGAGTCCCACTGCACCTAGAACAGTCTGGTCGCATATATCAGATGTGGTACATGAGACCAGTTGAGTCCCACTTCACCTAGAACAGTCTGGTCTCATAAATCAGATGTGGTACATGAGACCAGATGAGTTCGACTTTACCTAGAACAATCTGGTCTCATATATCAGATGTGGTACATGAGGCCAGTTGAGTCCCACTGCACCTAGAACAGTCTGGTCTCATATATCAGATGTGGTACATGAGACCAGTTGAGTCCCACTTTAGCTAGAACAGTCTGGTCTCATATATCAGATGTGTAACATGAGACCAGTTGAGTCCCACTTCAACTAAAACAGTCTGGTCGTATATATCAGATGTGGTACATGAGACCAGTTGAGTTCCACTTTAGCTAGAACAGTCTGGTCTCATATATCAGATGTGTAACATGAGACCAGTTGAGTCCCACTTCAACTAGAACAGTCTGGTCGCATATATCAGATGTGGTACATGAGACCAGTTGAGTCCCACTTTAGCTAGAACAGTCTGGTCTCATATATCAGATGTGGTACATGAGACCAGTTGAGTCCCACCTCACCTAAAACAGTCTGGTCCCATATATCAGATGTGTAACATGAGACCAGTTGAGTCTTACTTTAGATAGAACAGTCTGGTCTCATATATCAGATGTGGTACATGAGACCAGTTGAGTCCCACTTCACCTAGAACAGTCTGGTCTCATATATCAGATGTGGTACATGAGACCAGTTGAGTCCCACTTTAGCTAGAACAGTCTGGTCTCATATATCAGATGTGGTACATGAGACCAGTTGAGTCCCTCTTCACCTAGAACAGTCTGGTTTCATATATCAGATGTGTAACATGAGACCAGTTGAGTCACACTTTAGCTAGAACAGTCTGGTCTCATATATCAGATGTGGTACATGAGACCAGTTGAGTCCCACTTTAACTAGAACAGTCTGGTTCTCATATATCAGATGTGTAACATGAGACCAGTTGAGTCCCACTTCAACTAGAACAGTCTGGTCTCATATATCAGATGTGGTACATGAGACCAGTTGAGACCCACTTCAACTAGAACAGTCTGGTCTCATATATCAGATGTGGTACATGAGACCAGTTGAGACCCACTTCACCTAGAACAGTCTGGTCTCATATATCAGATGTGGTACATGAGACCAGTTGAGACCCACTTCAACTAGAACAGTCTGGTCTCATATATCAGATGTGTAACATGAGACCAGTTTGAGTCCCACTTCAACTAGAACAGTCTGGTCTCATATATCAGATGTGGTACATGAGACCAGTTGAGTCCCACTTTACCTAGAACAGTCTAGTCTCATATATAAGATGTGGTACATGAGACCAGTTGAGACCCTCTTCACCTAGAACAGTCTGGTCTCATATATCAGATGTGGTACATGAGACCAGTTGAGTCCCACTTTAGCCAGAACAGTCTGGTCTCATATATCAGATGTGGTACATGAAACCAGTTGAGTCCCACTTTAGCTAGGACAGTCTGGTCTTATAAATCAGATGCAGTACATGAGACCAGTTGAGACCCGCTTTAGCTAGAACAGTCTGGTCTCATATATCAGATGTGTAACATGAGACCAGTTGAGTCTTACTTTAGCTAGAACAGTCTGGTCTCATATATCAGATGTGGTACATGAGACCAGTTGAGTCCCACTTAACCTAGGACAGTTCTGGTCTCATATATCAGATGCAGAACATGAGACCAGTTGAGTCCCACTTTAGCTAGAACAATCTGGTCTCATATATCAGATGTGTAACATGAGACCAGTTGAGTCCCACTTCAACTAAAACAATCTGGTCGTATATATCAGATGTGGTACATGAGACCAGTTGAGTTCCACTTTAAGCTAGAACAGTCTGGTCTCATATATCAGATGTGTAACATGAGACCAGTTGAGTCCCACTTCAACTAGAACACTCTGGTCGCATATATCAGATGTCGTACATGAGACCAGTTGAGTTCCACTTTTAGCTAGAACAGTCTGGTCTCATATATCAGATGTGTAACATGAGACCAGTTGAGTCCCATTTCAACTAGAACAGTCTGGTCGCATATATCAGATGTGGTACATGAGACCAGTTGAGTCCCACCTCACCTAGAACAGTCTGGTCTCATATATCAGATGTGGTACATGAGACCAGTTGAGTCCCACCTCACCTAGAACAGTCTGGTCTCATATATCAGATGTGTAACATGAGACCAGTTGAGTCTTACTTTAGATAGAACAGTCTGGTCTCATATATCAGATGTGGTACATGAGACCAGTTGAGACCCTCTTCACCTAGGACAGTCTGGTCTCATATATCAGATGTGTAACATGAGACCAGTTGAGTCCCACTTCACCTAGAACAGTCTAGTTCATAAATCAGATGTGGTACATGAGACCAGTTGAGTCGCACGTCACCTACAACAGTCAGGTCTCATATACATGTATCAGATGTGGTACATGAGACCAGTTGACACCCTCTTCACCTAGGACAGTCTGGTCTCATATATCAGATGTGTAACATGAGACCAGTTGAGTCCCACTTTAGCTAGAACAGTCTGGTCTCATATATCAGATGTTGTACATGAGACCAGTTGAGTCGCACTTCACATAGAACAGTCTGGTCTCATATATCAGATGTGGTACAGGAGACCAGTTGAGTCCCACTTTAGCTAGAACAGTCTGGTCTCATATATCAGATGTTGTACATGAGACCAGTTGAGTCGCACTTCACCTAGAACAGTCTGGTCTTATATATCAGATGTGTAACATGAGACCAGTTGAGTCCCACTTTAGCTAGAACAGCCTGGTCTCATATATCAGATGTAGGACATGAGACCAGTTGAGACCCTCTTCACCTAGAACAATCTGGTCTCATATATCAGATGTGGTACATGAGACCAGTTGAGTCCCACTTTAGCTAGAACAGTCTGGTCTCATATATCAGATGTGGGCCATGAGACCAGTTGAGTCCAACTTTAGCTAGAACAGTCTGGTCTCATATATCAGATGTGGGACATGAGACCAGTTGAGACCCTCTTCACCTAGAAAACAATCTGGTCTCATATATCAGATGTGGTACATGAGACCAGTTGAGTCCCACTTTAGCTAGAACAGTCTGGTCTCATATATCAGATGTGTAATATGAGACCAGTTGAGTCCCACTTCAACTAGAACAGTCTGGTCTCATAAATCAGATGCGGAACATGAGACCAGTTGATTCCCACTTCACCTAGAACAATCTTGTCTCAAATATCAGATGTGGTGCATGAGACCAGTTGAGTCCCACTTCACCTAGAACAGTCTGGTCTCATAAATCAGATGCGGAACATGAGACCAGTTGATTCCCACTTCATCTAGAACAATCTTGTCTCAAATATCAGATGTGGTTCATGAGACCAGTTGAGTCCCACTTCTCCAAGAACAGTCTGGTCTCATATATCATAAATGAGATGTGGTACACGAGACCAGTTGAGACCACTAGGACAGTCTGGTTTCATATATCAGATCTACATTTCAAAACATGGGGCATTGGTCGCATTGTTGCTCCATAATTAAATCTGGGATTTGTCTTGCGCATTAACCTGGCAGTAAACTTCAGTTAGTTGAAGGTGGCCAGTATATAGGCCTATATAATTTGGAAGAAGAAGAAAGAAGGGACTATCTTCCGTCTCAGATTAAGTATTAAAAAATACGAGTACACGCAAAACATTATTTACCAAAACCCTGAAAGAAGATGTTATTTCATATCATGTAACGTCAAATATTAAAAACTGGTTCTTAATTATTTATTTTGCATTTTCCACATTTACATTTTCAATGTGAACTCCTCCTATTTGAAGAGTAGCTTTAACTTTACATCGGTTGCGTCCCTTCGATGTCATGTGACCAAGAAGAGACCACGGTCTCTTGCTCGATATTGGAGACTAAATATACCTCAAAATTTTGCCTGTTGTGCTTTGTTTATCTTAAAATGCGTTTAACCGACAATGATTTCTGTTGCATTCGCCCTTTAAATTTTCATATTATTTAAATACGAAACTTCTAGGGACGAATCAATACCGAAACAAGTGTCTGGCAATTTCTGTAAACATCATTCAAAATGGCTCGTAACAGTAAAGCTTTAGACATTAAGTACGTTTAAGTCAGTCACAAATTATATGTTCTTACTGCTTAATAAGATATTCACAATCTTAAGTAAAAAATTCACAATTTGTTAAGAAACGACGCTTTTTTTCACAATTTTTATGGTACCGGACCCATTCACAATTCAGGGGAAAAAATCGCTGTACACAGCTAGCATTATACACCATATCACATCAATTGACCATCACATAGATTAATTCTAGAGAATGGGGAAAAATAATTTTAATTTACTTAAATGTTCTAAAATCTTGATGTTATCTTTAATATGTGGTTGTAAAAATAATGTTTAATCCCAAGAAAAAAGAAAATCCAATACTTTTAATGTACATGTATATTTAAGAGATACATAGCAATATTATTGAAGGAAAGTTAAGACCAGATATAGTTAGTGTAACAGTAGCCACTAGAAAGTTAACAATAATTTTCTACTTTTAGCTCCAGTGATCTAGTTTTTATCAGAGATGACCCATGTTTTCAAACTCCAGCAATTAACTAGTCAAGCATCCTGTTCAAGTTTGATGACAATCGAGTTAAAAATGTGACCATTCGAGTGTGAACAAGCTTTTCCATATTTGGGCTGTGTTACCTAGTTTTTGACCCCAGACGAGCCATATTCTAACTTGACATAGAAATCATCAAAACAAACTTTTAGACCAACTTCCAGGATATTTGGATCAAAACAGTAGCCACCAGTATATTAACAAGATTTTTCTATTTTTAGCTCCTGTGATCTAGTTCTTCATCCGACAATCTTGTCTGAGCAATTACCTAGACAAGCACCTGACAAAGTTTGATGATGATTGAGGCAAAAATGTGACCGCAAGAGTGTCATAAAGGTTTTTCAATATTTGGGCGGTGTGACCAAGTTTTTGACCCTAGATGACCCATATTTGAACTTGACCTAGAAATCATCATAAACAAACTTTTCAGACCAATTTCCAGGAAATATGGATCATTACAATAACTACTAAACAAGATTTTAATATTTTTAGCTCCTGTGACTTTTTTTTTCAATGCCCGCCGCCCCCGGCCCGGGGAAAAAAGAGAAAAAAAATTGGTTTAAAAAAGGGCCCGCCCGGGCCCCCGCCGCCCCAAAATTCCAGACCAAATTTTCCCGGATATTTCCATCAAAAAGTAAATTCCCTAGAGTGTTAACAAGATTTTTTTATTTTTTTCTCCGTGACCTATTTTTTACCGAAAAGACCCCCTGTTTGAAAATCATCCAACAATTACCTAGAAAGCTCCCCACAAAAGGTTGATAATGATTGAGGCAAAAATGTGACCACTAGTGTTAACGAACAAATGTGGACGATGACGGGCGACAATATACGATGGACAATCAACAATCCTAAAAGCTCACCCTGAGCTAAAAAAAAGAAGCTTTTTAGGGAATCCAAATTTCACGGAAAATATAAATAGGATTTACTTATATCAAATGTGCTTTCTATTAAAAGTGAAAAAGAATGGTGTTCACTGTTAATAATCTGTTTCAGTTCTTACATATGCATGCTAATGTTAAACTAGAACTATCACTAAATGTGATTAATACCCCCACAAGGCTGCTTCGGAAATGAGGATGTTACTAGTAACAGAATACCTTGTAAAAGAATTGAAATATAGAGTTATGGTTGTGGGCAATTAAAGATAGTTGTGGTTCTTGTATGTTGCATTTCCTTTCAATATGGTTGGCCATTGATGAAGTTTTATTGAATTACTCTGTAATAAGTCCAGAAAGACAAGGAAAAGGGACAAAGGGCAATAACTCTATAAATACTGAAGATGGAGTTATAGTTCTTGTGCACTTCACTGCCTCTTATTGTGCTTAACCATTGTATGAAGTTGTTTTTAATTCCAACCAGTATGTTTTAAGTTATGCTCCGGACAAAGGAAGTATCAAAGGGCAGTAACTCTGTATTATGTCAAAATGGAGTTATGGCTCTTGTGCACTGCACTTCCTTTTAATGTCCTTGACAACTGTATGAAGTTGTATTGAATTCCAAACAGTAGTTTTCAAGTTATGCTCTGGACAAGGAAAAGTAACAAAGGGCAATAACTCTGTAATTAGTCAAGATGGAGTTATGGTTCTTGTGCACTGCACTTCCTCTCAATGTGCTTGACCATTGTATGAAGTTGTTTTGAATTCCAACCATTAGTCTTCAAGTTATGGTCCAGACAAAAAAAGCAATGGAAAAGTAACAAAGGGCAATAACTCTGTAATTAGTCAAGATGGAGTTAAGGTTCTTATGCACTGCACTTCCCCTTATTGTGCTTGACCATTGTATGAAGTTGTTTTGAATTCCAACCAGTAGTTTTCATGTCATGCTCTGGACAAGGAAAAGTAACAAAGGGCAGTAACTCTGTAATAAGTCAAGATGGAGTTATGGTTCTTAAGCACTGCACTTCCTCTCAATGTGCTTGACCATTGTATGAAGTTATAATGAATTCCAACAATTAGTCTTCAAAATATGGTCCAGACAAAAGAAAGCAATGGAAAAGTAACAAAGGGCATTTACTCTGTAATTACTTTAGATAGAGTTATGGTTCTTGTGCACTGCACTTCCCCTTATTGTGTTTGACAATTGTATGAAGTTGTTTTTAATTCCAACTAGTAGTTTTCAAGTTATGCCCCGGACAAGGAAAAGTAACAAAGGGCAATAACTCTGTAATTAGTCAAGATAGAGTTATGGTTCTTATGCACTGCACTTCCTCTCAATGTGCTTGACCATTGTATGAAGTTATAATGAATTCCTACAATTTGTCTTCAAGTTATGGTCTGGACAAAAGAAAGCAATGGAAAAGTAACAAAGGGCAATAACTCTGTAATTATTTAAGATAGTTATGGATTTTGTGTACTGCACTTCCCCTTATTGTGTTTGACAATTGTATGAAGTTGTTTTTAATTCCAACCAGTAGTTTTCAAGTAATGCCCCGGACAAGGAAAAGTAACAAAGGGCAATAACTCTGTAATTAGTCAAGATTCAGGGCTCTACAGATCCTATAGTCCGACGTCCGGGACAACTCTAAAACCACTTGGGACAACTAAAAATAAGCAGAAAGTTAGTCCAGGACAAGTCAAATTTTGACAGATACTGTAAAATTATGTTTATTAATACGACCCTTCACAGCATGGTGCGCCGGTAATCTTCGCCTGAGGTAATTAATCTCAGTAGTTGTTACACTGATTAATTTTACATTGCCACAGGCAATAAAAATAGATAAGACACTAAATGTTTGATAAAAATCTTAAATACAAAGTCCAACATTATTTAAGACATGTCCAAAACACTATTAAGTTGCAGACTTGGTCTTTGAAGTTGATGTATATTGACACAAGCAGACAGTAATTTGTGCCGTGAATTGAAAATTTGGAATTTTTTGTTTTAGGCTTTTTGATGAATTCCTAAGTGGAAAACAATATTACAATATCCAAAAAGCATCTATTATGAACGCATTCGAACATACAATAGTCAAAATAGTAAAATTTATGAGGAAAACAGAAAAATTTTCATTTGTCACTTATTTTCGCGATGCCGATTTTTTTTATATAAATCGTGAGGCAGTTTTAATCAGTTTAAAGCTCTGCAGCAAATAGGAATATTAAAAATCTTTTGTTACTTATGAATCAAAAGGACTTTTGACAATGTTAAGATAAATAATGATGAGATTTGTAAGTATTTGAATAGTCTAATTCACTATCATATTTTCCCTACCGGGTAATAATGACTGTCTTTTTCTTATTTACCATGTCCAATGTGAAATGTGGAAACTGAGAGAGGCTATGGTTAACTAGATTCATGTTAGAATAATTTTACTTAAATTTTTAAGATCAAGGATAAAAATCCAGGAAAAAAAATAAAACTGAAACAAAACATATAGGCCTACACAGGCTATTGAACTTGAACAGTGCTGAAAGGTACCTGGGAAGAGAGCTGAACAATCAAAACTATTTCAGTTGAAACAAAATGTTCTATTTTATACTAAATGGAATACTTAATGTAACTTAAAAATATTAAAAAATTAATTGTCTTTACTTCTTCTTTGGATATAGAGATCTACACACTACGCATACTGAACATTTACCGAGACTTGGACACTTGTGGTAAATTTTGGGACAACTCTATTTTGCTAGGTCAGTTGTCCTGGACAACTCTATTCCAAAAAAAATTGTAGAGCCCTGAAGATAGAGTTATGGTTCTTGTGCACTGCACTTCCTCTCAATGTGCTTGACCATTGTATGTAGTTATATTGAATTCCAACCATTAGTCTTCAAGTTATGCTCCGGACAAGGAAAATGCAACGGACGTCTGGACCGACCGACCAACCGACCACCGGGTGACTCCTATATACCCCCCCCCCAAACTTGGTTTTTGGGGGTATAAAAAGTAAAGATACAACCTTCAATAAAAATCTTATACCTGTGAAATAGTTCTATACCTTTATTCAGCCTTAAATGTATCCAATACATTCGTAAAAATCTTCCTTGAATTATTTCTATCATTTAAATTATTTTAATTAATATCAATTGTCAATTAATTTAACTGAAAACGGAAATACATGTACGTCCTTATTATTCTATAAAATAGTTTGAAGAGTTGCCATATTGTTTCGAAGTGTCCATACATATATATTATTTTCTTATTTAAGATCATCAAAGTAGTTTCTTCAGTTTATTTAACAACACGTTTTTCCTTGTCTATTCGTTGCTTGTTTTTCTAATTTTGAACACAAGTTTCCAGTCTTCTGGTATTATATGTTCGTTTTCTTTAACACGCTCACATTCTGCTTCCAGTGTAATGGCGGTCATCTCTTTGACTGTCTGTGGAAGATTTTTCAGCACGGTCATAAAGTTCTGTAACCTTCCCCTCAATTCAAGCCGTTCAATACTCAACATGTCACATGACAGTAACAATGAACTTTCATCTAGATTGATTCCCACCAGTATATCATGAACTAACGACGATGTTGTTATATTTGAGTGCAGTCTGGGTAACTGCTCCAAGTATAACATTGTTAAAGTTGAATGGTGCGACAAGTCCAAGTTCAATCCCTTACAATGAGGGCGGTCGTGTTCTTTACATTTTATCCATTCCAATATTAACTCTTTCATTGATGTGTGATTAGAGATATAATTTAAAACTGTTTCCAGTACTTTATGAGATAACGTGAACCTGTCAATATGTAATTTTTGTAGATTTTGTAACCCCGCTAAGTTTTCACTCAGATTTTCCTCATCATTTGTCCATTCACCATGAGACAAAGTTATGTTCTGTAAACTGGGAAACAATATCAGATTTATCTCAGCTTCCTTCTTTTTGTCACCATAATAGTAAAGTGTCTGTAAATGACTAAGATCTGTCAGAGAGAATAAATCTATCAATTCACGTAAACTGCTAGAAGTAAATCTGGTGTTTATATAAAGTGATTTTATGCTCCTTTTATTTTGCTTTAACAAACGTTGAAACTGTTCATTGAGCTTGATGTCCTCGTCAATAAAGAAATCTTGTAAACATAATTGAATATTTTCACTTTCAGGCATTTCTTGTAAACACGACCTAATCATTTTCTGTAAGTGATATAATGGATTATATGGCAAGTATTCGACACCTGATCCAGTTCTATAGTCGCGTGTTTCCTCGTCTTCATTTATTACAGACATCAAATCATTTGAAATGGCACACATTCGGTCAGGCGTCATTCCACTTACCAATACAAAAATTTTTGACATGGCCAGAATGTCTTGAATATTTCTGCAATTTTCTAGAGCTGGTTTATGAGCGCAACTTTGAAGACTTACACATATGGCAGCAAAGAATTCTTGCACAGTTTTGTGGGAAAACGATAATTTGATAACTTCTTTGATTAAAGTTTTACTTCTACTTTCTGACAATATTCCTGAGAGAAGACTTAATTTCATGTCGTCTGCTTTGAGATATTTTTCAGCAACCGTTCTGTCAAATACTAGCATGCTTTCTCTTTCTTCGTTACATAATGTTTGGTATGCTAGTTCTGCTAATGATGTTATAAGACTGTAAAACTTTTTACAAAATTCATGATTTTTGAAGTATTCTGGAATTTCACTGGCAGACGATACATGAGATGGTTGGACTTCTGGGTGTATCTTTGATGTTCTCGATAATAGAAATTCAATGACATGGATGTAAATCTCATGTCTTGAATTTCCTAAAGGAATATTGTTAGACCATAGGTTAACTAAGTACATGAGGAGGAGTGGAATCACTTGCATGTGCTCTAGGCCATGGTCACGTATCACTTTATCTAAGTCCTTTGTTTTACTCTTCAGTACTCTTTCGTCATGGACACCTGTAATTTTTCTTATAGCATTTTCTTCTAGTTGCTGCGTAGAGTCTGCACTTAATTGAACCATTTCTAAAAGTTTGTTTATTTGACTCGTTTTGAGATTTGAAACTCCAAGCTTCCACGGCCGGGTTGTTGTTAGGATAACACAATTATCACGCACGTACCGATGTGGGATTTTTTCATTTACTTCCCTACAACTATTATCAGGGTGAGTCCATTCATCAAGACCGTCCAATATAATCAAGCATTTTTCTCTTCGTAAAACTTCATCTAGTCGTGCTGATGAAGGAAGTTCCTTAGTAATTTGCTGTTCAATCATATCGTCAATGTTACAAGCAGAGGTACAGTCTCTTAAGAGAACCAAAAATAAGAACTCGAAGTCGAGTAACGTTTTTAATTCGTCTTCTTTAAAACAGGCATAGTTTTCATCGTGACAATGAGCTTGGCACCACGTGATTGCAAGATATTTTGAAAAAGCAGTTTTTCCAAAGCCTGCATCAGCTGATAGATAAATTTCTTGACAATATTCACTTCTAGTTGAAAACATGTCCCTCGATGACTTTATCGGTGTTCTCTCCTCTTTATGACTAATTAGGGACTTCTGTTTTACGGCAACAATATCTGGCATCACATAGAATTCAGCTAAAGGTGTCTCTATTTCTTCAAGAAGCGGTGAGAGAGGTATTGAACTACGCCTACTTCTGTAGAATTTAATCAGGTCACCTTGAAGATCTGTAAAGAGAGTAGAAAAACAATGTTCAGTGATATATCTTTCTAAATACAGTCAAAGCACGGTTATTCGACGACCCTTTATTCGAATACCCGGTATTATCTGAAGTAGATCCGTTGTCCAATTTTTTATCTCAATATAAATCAATAAAAATACTAACATATATTATACCTCCTATTATTGTCATATATGATATGATATCAGCTTTTTATATGAAACCTTGGCAAATGTGAATTTAAATATTATTATCTAAGTTGTTATGTTTCAAGTAATTAGTTTCTGATACTGACAGAATTTTTCAAGTCCGAAGTTACAGTAGGTCATATCTATATTCTGACATCTTTGCTACATGTATATTGAAATTTCTCCACATTTTTTTTCATGAGTTCAGAGAACGCTGTTCAGCTATTTACCATCATTGCCCCATATAGAACAGGGTGAGAAAAATGTGCAGTCTGACCAGATTCAAACACAGGACCCTTTGAATACCATATGCTGGCTGTACTGACTGAGATGTCTTGCTATCCGACATTTCTACCTCCCCCAACAATTAGATAATAATTCTATACTGTATCATGAAAAATATTTTATTAGCTTGAATCAAAAATGGTAAGTGCAGAACTCCTGATTTAAAGATGAGATTATATCATATTATTTGTTTACCTAGCTCCAAGGACTTACATGTAGGCTCTCCCCACAAATAAAAACAAGAACCAGTTGAACCGGGTGATGCTCCCCGAGAAGGTTCTGGACACAGGAAAGTATAAAAAAATGAACAAAGGGCAAAAACTCCAAAAGTAGGCAAGGCGGAGTTATGTTTTTTTGCACTGCACTTCTATTCAATGAGATCTATCTATCTATAAAGTTTCCTAAAGATATCAGAGTTATGTCCCGGGTAAAATTCAAAGTGTAAAAATGAACAAAGGGCAATAACTCCAAAAATAGACCAGGCTTTGTTTATGTTCTTTAAGCATTGCAGTTCTATCCAATTATATCTAGCTACCTACAAAGTTTTAAGTTGATATCTCTAATAGTTTTAAAGTTATATCCCGGACAAAAGTCAAAAAGTAAAAATAAACAAAGGGCAATAACTTCAAAATAAGGCAAGGCAGAGTAATGATTCTTAAGCACTGCACTTCCACCCAATGAGACCTATCTATCTACAAAGTTTCATGTTGATATCTCTTATAATTTTAGAGTAATGTCCCGGACAAAGTTCAAAGTGTCAAAATGAACAAAGGGCAATAACTCCAAAAGTAGGCAAGACAGTGTTACAGTTCTTGTGCACTGCAAACCTACTTAATGAGATCTATCTACCTACAAAGTTTCATGTTGATACCTCTTATAGTTTTAGAGTTATGTCCTGGACAAAGTTCAAAGTGTGAAAATAAACAAAGGGGGATAATTAAAAAATTAGGCAAGGCAGAGTTACGGTTCTTGTGCACTGCACACCTACTTAATGAGATCTTTCTACCTACAAAGTTTCATGTTGATACCACTTAAAGTTTTAGAGTTATGTCCCAGACCAAGTTCAAAGTGTAAAATAAACAAAGGGGGATAATTCAAAAAATAGGCAAGGCAGAGTTACGTTTCTTGTGCACTGCACACCTACTTAATGAGATCTATCTACCTACAAAGTTTCATGTTGATACCTATTATAGTTTTAGAGTTATGTCCTGGACAAAGTTCAAAGTGTAAAATAAACAAAGGGGGATAATTAAAAAATTAGGCAAGGCAGAGTTACGGTTCTTGTGCACTGCACACCTACTCAATGAGATCTATCTACCTACAAAGTTTCATGTTGATACCACTTATACTTTTAGAGTTATGTCCCGGACAAAGTTCAAAGTGTAAAATAAACAAAGGGGGATAATTAAAAAATTAGGCAAGGCAGAGTTATGGTTCTTGTGCACTGCACACCTTCTCAATGAGATCTATCTACCTACAAAGTTTCATGTTGATACCTTTAATACATTTAGAGTTATGTCCCGGACAAAGTTCAAAGTGTAAAATAAACAAAGGGGGATAATTAAAAAATTAGGCAAGGCAGAGTTATGGTTCTTGTTCACTGCACCCCTACTCAATGAGATCTATCTACCTACAAAGTTTCATGTTGATACCTATTATAGTTTTAGAGTTATGTCCCCGACAAAGTTCAAAGTGTAAAAATAAACAAAGGGGAATAATTCAAAAATTAGGCAAGGCAGAGTTACGGTTCTTGTGCACTGTACACCTTCTTAATGAGATCTATCAAGATAATCAAGTCCATAGCTTTTATAGTTGAAGAGAAATGACCCAAACAAAATTAAAGTATGAAAATTAACAAAGGGCAATAACTCAATTAAGAGCAGAGCAGCAGTCCTTGTGCACTGCACTTCTGGTTATTGAAAGAAGCATGCATACCAAGTTTGAAGTCAATCAGACTTATTGCGACTGAGTTATGCTGCGGACAAACTTTAGGGGACGCCAACAACGACGCCTATGCTGACACAGCCAACAAAAGTAACCCCTATATGTCGCCTTTTCAAGGCGACACAAAAAGTAGGCCACTGATGGGCACCTTTTGATCTTAGGGGCATAATTTGAACAATTTTTACAAAGGACTACTAGATGATGTTATATATCAAAGCTCTAGGCCTATATAACTCAATGTAAAATTGATGACCCCCTGGCTAGGCCCCCTTTGACCCTTGGGGGCATAATCTAGAAGACCACTAGATGATGTTACATACCAAATATCACAGCTGTAGGTCTTGTGATTTTAGACGAGGAGATTTTTAATGTTTTTTTTTTAATAGATAAGCCCCCTTGTGGGCCCCTTTTCATCAAGAGGCATAATTTGAACAATAATTGTAGAGGACCACTAGATCATGTTACATACCAAATATCAAGGCTCTATGCCTCGTGAATTTTGACATTAAGATTTTTAAGATTTCCTAATACAACTTTATATAAAACTGATGAGCACCCAGGCTGTTTGTTTGTTTGTTTGTTTCATTTTACGCCTTTTCCAACAGTATTTCAGTCATACAGGCTGGGCCAATTTTGACCCTAGGGGCATAATTTGTACAATTTTTGTAGAGGACCACTAGATCATGTTACATACCAAATATCAAGGCTCTACACCTTGTGTTTTTTACAAGACGATTTTTTAAGATTTAAAAAAAAAAATCTTTCCGTTGCCGAGTTCTTCAAGGAATTAAATTCTCTAAAAAACTTTGGTAGAGCTATATGCAAGGAACATCCCTGCAAAGTTAATAAATTTGGCCAAATGGTTTAGGAGGTGAAGTTCTTTTAAGACAGACTGACAATGGGCCAACACAAAAGCTCACCTTGAAGACATTGTCCTCCAGTGAGCTAAAGATCTCATTGAAAATTTGTCAATTTCTTCTTAATTAAGTGATTAAAATTAATATGTAGTGAAAGTTAGACTGCTCAACCATGTCAAGACAAATAACATATTTATTGATGATATTTATCTTTTAAATTTAACATATTAATTGATGATATATAACATCTTAGTGTTTGAAATTATTTCTTGTCCAATAGAATTGAAGTATTTCAAATGAATCGTAACACGTTTACTTTGGTAAATCGACAAACTGTTAATCAGTCTAGTAAATCGACTGTTAATAAAAATAATTCAAAACACTAAGCCAGTCAGTCAAATTTTATTAGTACCTATTTACAAAATTAAATTGTGCCGCGTCTGAACAATTAAATTTTTCTAAATATGTACTAATAAACTTTTACCTAATATACTAAGGGCATAGAAGTCATAAATATGCATAAACATTTATAGATAATGACCGATTATTAAAAGTTAATTTTTTCAGAAAGATCCATGGATTTATATAAGAATTTAAACATTTGATTAATTTTTGACACACACTTATAACCACTAATTTAACTAAATTAATAAAACTGAACCTGCAACAAGTTATAATTTTGCTGTTTAAATATTTTAAGGGGATGTAACTCATGTCTATCAAATTATTATTGCTGTATATAAAGAGTGTGGCTATTGGCAGTGTGCTTAATTAACTATAAAATAACTTTCTTATTAAATATTTTGTTCATAAAAAGAACAGAAAAATGAAAAATATATGAGCTGTAAGTTCATTAAAAGCCTATGGAGGCACTGAGGAGTGCTTTATATACCTTAGACAGAAAAATATTGGTGTAATGCCGAACTTTTCTTAAGGGACATAAAATTTTATTATTTTTGACAAGCAGAGTCACCAGGGGAGGATCCAGGATCTAAGGATTTTTTTGTTTCTTTGTTTAATTTTACGCCTTTCCCAACAGTATTTCAGTCATATAGGCGGGTAGTTTCCTAACCATCGTTCCTGGAGAGTTAAACCAGTACTAGACTACCTTCCTCCGCGCTAAACTACCAAAGCATCTCCCGGGGATCGAAACCACGCCAGCGAGTAAACTGGATTAGCTAACCCCTCGACCACGGAGGCAGTCCATGGATCAAAGGTAAGTGGGTGCATATTATATAGAAGGTAGAAGACACAGTGGTAAAAGCAATGTATACATGACCATGCAACATGAACACATGCAAAAAGATTTGCTTTGCAAGTACTGTTCTGCAATAATTTTTTATACCAATTAATTCTTTACATTTAAAGGTTAAAATGCACAATACTTCAATAGCCGAAATTAGATTGACCCAAAACATTAAAATGTATACAGAAAGCATTTCAGCTCAGTTACATCCACTCATGAAATATTTAATTTCATACCACTCGATGAAAACAAATCCTGTATTAATAGAAAAAACTTGAAAATCTTATATTCATTGCACAACTAGAAATTGAAAACATGTGATAGAAACTCACACATTATAAAAGCAGCCAAATCGTGTTTTTGACAGGACCTTTTTTGCTTGATTACGAAGAAAATCTATACTTACTTACCTGTGTTTGATTATAGATGTTCACCAATATTCACTAAAATTTAATCATTATTAACTTACCCTTGGCTTGATTGATAAAGGAATGTAGTAATATTTACTTACTCTTCTTGTTTTTTTGATATTTTTCCTCCTCTGATTGTATAGAAGAGACGACATGGTTTCTTTTCTCTGTTAAATAGACATACATTTAATCAGTATATAACTCTGATTATTTTTCTAAATATATTCAATTTTTAAGTTGTATGATTATATGAATAGACTAAATATTGTCAGTAAACGGGTCAACTTTTAAACATTGCATTATTTTCCATTCACATACCGTACATACGCACTTGTAAGGCGCCGCTCTGTCTTATAAAACGCACCTCTTACTTCAGGCTCAAGATTTGGGGATTTTTTATGAAGACCCTCATATAAGACGCGGTTATATTTTGGCTGTGCAAAATCCACCAACAATCCGTCAGTTTTTGACAAAGTGCAAACTCAAATTTTACTAAAACAAAAATGAATTTTAGACACGTCTGCATCACTCTGCTTAAGTAAACATCGTCTAAAAATTTGTCTGTCTAGACAACATCTACGCTACTGTCTATTTATGTTAGAATAGGAATAATTTTATTATGATTTTTCTAACATTTCTAAAACAATATATCAAAATGTGTACAGAAAGCATTTCAGCTCAGTTACATCCACTCATGAAATATTTAATTTCATACCACTCGATGAAAACAAATCCTGTATTAATAGAAAACAAGATTGCATTTGTAAACAAGCAATTATCATAGTATTGCAAGCAATCCATAAGTCCCCTACCGGTAAGAGCCCAAGCAACATTATGAAGGGCCATTGGCCATTCACTTAGGTTCCTATTTTAAGTACATTTGTTGAAAAAGTTCTTTAAAAATGATCACAGGAAACAGTTTTTATGTACAGACAGACAGACTGAAGGACACTCTAAAGTTATTTTTTAAACATCCCTGTTATCAATATACAACATTTTTAAAATCCTATCATGATTGAAGAATTTGGAGTAAAAATTACCAATTTCTCAAAAAAAAAGTCTAAGTTCAAAAGGGGCATAATTCTGGAAATAGTCTTGCTAGAGTATTGAACACTCACAAATGTTGAGTGACAATAAGAAACATTTATATGAAGTTTGAAGTAGATACATTCAGAAAAAGAAGTTATTAAAAAAAACAATGTTTTTTTCATGAAAATTTTAAGTTCAAGGGAGGTAATTCTGATAAAGAGCTAGGTTCACTAACCACCGAAAATGGCCCAAAACTGACGGAAAATAAAAACTACAGAAAAACTATATTTTGTGTTTTGTTTTTAATCAACATCATCAATTAAATACAGAAATTGATTTTCTTCCATAAAAATCATCGTATAAAGTGATTTTTATGATTTTTGTTTGAACCCTGTTCTTGCCAAAATGGCAATATTTAAGTGCTATGATGGGGAATTTTTCAGTGTCCCAGTATGAGCGCACGTCTGTTCCACCTTTATTCCAGCTGAAATCGATTTGTTATTCAATTATCTTTAAGTAAATAATAGTTATTTTGTGGAACACGCGTGCGCTCATATTATAAAATGAGAAAGTGTGAGACCCTTTGTTATTTATCAAAGGCCACATATCGATTTAAAAACCAATATTACCTATCATTTTCTTAACAAATAACGTTATTAATAAGCAAATTGTATAAGAAAACATTTAAAAGAGATATTTCAAAGTGAATGCGAACCTTTGGAATCACAAAAAAAACAACAAACGATTATCATTTATTAACGCGACGTTTTGGAACGAATTGCAGTGGGTACGAAACACAGCGCTGGAAATGTAAACAACACGACATAGAGACAGCAATACACCGATTTTTTCAGGTATTTGTTTCCCTAGGTATTTGTTTCCCTGTTAAAGAAATTATGTTATATGCTCTTACAATAAAACACTACTGTTTTATTAATACTTTATTTTACTTAATTTAGATCTTAAATACCTTTGAATTTAAAACAAAATCGTATGCCGAATGATGATTGAGAAACAAGTCGAATAGAAATAGCATCAACGACGGTGAATTTTAGCTAGAACTGTCCTTTAGTAGAGTGCATATTTAGAAACAGTTATAGTAAAAATCAGAAATTGTATACATATGTAAATAGTAAGTTTCAATCAATTAAATTATGTAAATGTTATAAAGTGTGATCGTCTGCATTTAAAATTTCTTACTCGATTAATTTTATATCGATAAAACTGTTCCGCGCTATTGTGAAAGTCGCCGTGGTAAATAGGAAGAAGCGATGGATTCACACGCGAGAGATCTGGGTTCGATTCCAACTATAGTCATTTTTTTTTTTGCAAAATATTTTTTTTTACAAGATATATATATATAGGCCTATTATAGAAATGTTTTAAATGATATGAAACAATATAACTCGTAAGTATGAAAATCCCTTCAAAATATACAAGACTTGAATAATTGTGTTTTTTTTTTTTTCAGGATGGTTAAACATTATGAATGCGTTGTCTGTAAAAAAGAATGAAACCCTCTGAAAGACGTCCCATTCCTGACAAAGCAAAAAAGATACTAAGGAAGATTCTATCTGTTCTTCCCTGTGATGATGACGTAATATGCCCTTCATGCCGGACAAAACTTTACAGGAGTAGGCAGAAGAAACTTAAAGATACAGTCAGTGTGCCACAGCCATCAACAAGTCAGCTTATCAGTCCTCCATCGGTAAGTTTATTTTTGTAATAAATTGCATTATAATTTTGTAAACATTAGATAAGAATTAATCAACCTATATGATTTTTTTTCTACAAATGAAAAAGTATTATTTAAATATTAAACATGATGTACGTAATATTAATTTAAAACAAATGACAGTAAGTTTGAGACAATTTGTGTTCTTTCATTGTACGTAACTTCATTAAATATGATAGATCTTGATGGTTTTGTAGAATTGGCTATTAACCCTTACCACGCTAAACATTTCAAATGGACTTGTCAATCTTTAAATCTGGACAAAACCATTGATCATTTTTGGGGGAAAAAATAAAATATTTTCTGAATGAATAGCGAACAGTGCAGACCATGATTGGGCGACATGGATGTGCCGGTTGATCTTGGTCTGCACTGATCACATGGGTAGATTATGTTGCAGACAGCAGGCTAGAGGTAAATATTGAAATAATTTACTATTTTAGGTAGTTCTTAAAATCCCATCAACAAGCAGGAGCCATTCAAGATGTTTTGTCTGCAAAAAAGCTGGTCCAAAACTTGTTCGCCTGGGTTCAGAGTGTCGACTTCAAGCATTTCTACAGCACAATATCATAGTTCATTCAGATGCCAGATGTTGTCCAGTACACGTTTCAGATAAAACGCTAAAGATAGATTCTGTGGAAGTCATTGATCGCCTCAACGCATCTTCATATCTGAACAGGTCATCTTTTTCTAATCTCCTTCAAAATATGCGATCTTTATGCATTCAACAGAATTCTTCCCTGAACTTTGACACTGTAAGAGAGGCCCTGATGAGAAGTTTCGTGCCGCTCTACCTTGGATTTGAGAGTGTGACAAGGGAATCAATACTATGCAACCATACACGACAGTTAGCTAAATCCCTATTTTGTTCTTCTTCTGATAAAATTGTTTTGGTTCTTGATGGCACATACATTTACATCAATAAATCGAACAATTACAAGTTTCAATCAAAGAAGAACAGTAGTATATGCGCCTCTTTAGGGCCACGAATGCGCATGCGCGGCGGCCATTTTGTTTTCTATTAATAGCTTCTCATTTGCATAAAAGAAATGACCTTACTGCACATGCGCGGTGGCCGTGTTGAATAACAGACGCGCGGCGGCCATTTTGGATTCTTTTTTAAGAATGACATCATTATGTTATAAATAGAAATAATATCTCCCGGAAGTATACGGAGCTGACTCGTATACACGATCTTAGGGCCTGAATCGCGGACATTGAAGGTCAGGTCCTCGGCCCTAGACGGGAAGATAATCACCATTTTTATAACTACAGATAACCTTTGTATAAATACGTGCTTAACTACACATATCAATTAATAAAATCATTGTTCGAATAAAGTAGAATCTCTTAAAAAAATGCAAACGGCTTGATTATATTTTTAATTAGTAATAAAAACTGACTAAATATTAATATATTATTTTTAATGTGTTTTTCTATAAACATTCCAAATAAAAGAAAATACATTAGTAATAAGATATAATTGAAAACCGACTGACTAATTGACTCTCTATAATACTATAAATAAGACAATTAATTTATTACTTTAAATTTGTTTCTTTATAAAATTCTTAACATATAACAAAATATATGAAATTTATTTTCAATTTAATTCGATATTATGATTCTGTCAAATAATGTTTCTATATAAAATAATAATAAGGACATTTACTGTAAAATAAATTAATAAACATCTGCGTAAAAACTGACTAAATATTAATATATTATTTTTAATGTGTTTTTCTATAAACATTCCAAATAAAAGAAAATACATTAGTAATAAGATATAATTGAAAACCGACTGACTAATTGACTCTCTATAATACTATAAATAAGACAATTAATTTATTACTTTAAATTTGTTTCTTTATAAAAAATATTAACATATAACAAAATATATGAAATTTATTTTCAATTTAATTCGATATTATGACTCTGTCAAATAATGTTTCTATATAAAATAATAATAAGGACATTTACTGTAAAATAATTTAATAAATATCTGCGTAAAATACATACATACGATGTTTACTCCTCGGCGGTCCGAATCCAAATGACACAAATCATCAGTGTATTATTTCTAAATGCTCTGATCACGAGTGTAAAGTCGCCACAATGTATGGCGTGTGTTTATTTAGGGACGGAAACACTAACAATGGCCTATTGAAATGTTAAAGTTAATCCCTTTAAAGTAGCCACTTGGTCTGGCGTATGTTTATTTAGGGACGGATATGCGGACAATGCTCCATTCAACTGTCAAAGTTTATCCGTCTAAAGTAAAAGCGGGTAATTAATTATAAATTGAAGTGTCAGTTTACCCCTGGGGCATAATTTTAAACTCATTTTGGAAAAGAAACGTTTTAAAACTGATCATTACGAATGTGCAAAAATTATAAAAAAAAAAAAAACTAATATAACCGAACTAAAAATACAACAGAAAAAGCGTTTTTCGTCTTTTGTGCAACATTTTACGATTATACATTTTGATTTTTTTTTCGCATCAAATGATAGAACCTGACAGAATGCTTAATAAACCCTAGGTTTCTCGATTCGATTTTAGCCGTTATCGAGTTATGGCCAATTAGCGATTTTTAAACCAATTTTTCAAAGTTCGTAAAACCCTTAGATTTATATGCCGTTTGAAAGATCTCTGCGAGTAGATTCAGAAAATGTATTATTATATGGATCTATCTCTTACTATTTCTGAGATAAGTGAGTTTGAATATGGCAGACAAAATCACTCATGCGGAAAAACGCGCATAACTTTTTCGTTTATGAACGAAACATGTTTGGTATCAAATTGAAGGTCTTGACGAGTACATTCTGACGCTGGCGATAGTGAAGTTCATACTGGAAGTCAAAATCACTCATGCGTAAATAAAAAATATATATTTTGGTTACTAGAGCAACCGAATCCGATATGATTTTTAATTGTTGACTACCAATTGAAAGAACAGTTCATTGCCTTTAATTTACACCCCCATTTTCGATTTCGATTTTCAGCCGTTTTTGAGTTATGACGCAAGAGCGATTTTAAACCCTAAATTTCGAAAGTCAATAAAAACGTTACAACTGTTTACCAATCAATTCGTCTCGTCGCGCTGATTAAGAAAATATATAGTTTAATGGGTTTATCTTTTACCGTTTTTGAGTAATTCGAGTTTAAATTCACCGGAAGTGACGTCACAGAAATTTCAAAATCGTTTTCTTCGTTATTACTTGACCGAATATATACGTGTTTGGTATCGTTGGAAAGAATTTCACCACACCTGTTACCTGACGCTATTCAAAAAGCCATTGGACCGGAACTGAAATCACTGAAGCGTAAAAACGTGTTTTCTGTACCAAGCCTGGACCGATCTAAGGCGTGTTTGGTATTAAATGAAATGTCTGAAGCCGCTCTTTATGAATACGGACTAAAATCGAAATTAAAATCACTCATGCGTAAAAATCATTAAAATAACTAAAATAAGCTAACCCCCAGTCGGAATAATTACATGAATTTAGAGTGTAATTCTTTTAGTCATCGCCACCGCCGCCACCGCCGCCGTCGCCGCCAACGCCGCCGCCGACACCTCCACCGCCGCCATTACAAAGAAAACTGTCTACAGCGTAAGAAGGATGATCATATCAATAGATGGAAGAATACCGCAGTGTACTTCTGTGACCACTTTAATAATGAATCAGTGTTCTGTTTGCCAGCAGTCTTTCTCAAGACGTGACGTCATGCTGAGACATCAACGTTATGTACATGGGAGTGATGACACTGTTTAAAAGTGATTTTCTTTATCGCAACAAATCATTCATAGGGACACTTTCAGAAAAGAATGAATTTTCAACACCCATTTTCCATGGTCGTCTCCGGGCCTAGTGGTAGTGGGAAAAACTGAATGGACTAAAACACTGCTTTTATCCGATCAGGTAAATCCGCCACCAGAGCGCAATCAATATTGTGTTACGGGCAATGAGCAGCCTCTGTACGATGAACTTCAACGTAGAATACCCTGGATAGAATTTGTACGAGGTATCCCCCGACTACTTGAATATCAAGAGTATATTAATACCCGTAAAAGGAATTGATTGCGCGAGGACGATTTAATGACAGAAGCCAAATGCGATCAAAGAATTGCTGATCTTTTTACCAAAGGCAGTCACCACAGGAACATATCTATCGTGTATCTGACTCAAAATTTATTTCTCAAGGAAAGCCTGCAGAGATATCGCGTTGAATACGCAGTACCTAGTATTATTCCGAAATAACGCCTATTGACATGTACAGCAGGTGGCTACGTTAGCTAGGAGAATGATGTATCCTTCCTCCTATAACATCTTTATGAAACGCTTCGAACGAGCGACATCGAGAAACGCACGTTATCTAGTGGTAGACTTGAAATCCTCTACTCCAGAACATGACCGTTTGCGCGACAACATGGTTTTGAAGTCGTAGGTAGGAAAACGACCAGCCTCGGCGGATGATTCCGAAAATGAGATTAGTGGAGAAGAAACTTGTCTGACAATACTTTTCGAAATGATGAGCTTGTTAATGATGATTATGAGGAGGAGGAGGTGAATGAGTCAGACGACGAAAATATTGGAATATGAAAAGAAAGTCTTTCTTTACGGGACCCCCTGGTAAGCGTATAAAAGAAGAGCTCAAAGAAGAACGCAAAGTCATAGACATATGAGAGATAGAAGAGAGGTTTGTAAAGAACAATTTAAAGACCTAAACAGTTACATAGATAAAGAATTCTCTTTTGATGAGGGCTTATGCATCGCACTGCTAATGATGTGTTGCCACATTTGAGAAAGAGATGAAGACAAAATTATGCCAAGTTTTTTGATTGATTTTACGCATTAATGAAAGAAGACGCCTTATGTATCTATATATTTCGCATGCTCAGTTGGGAGATATGTATAAAGACAGTATGAGCGTCGATGAGACATGGACCATGTATATGTATATAATATGGCGCACCCACACGTTTAATATAGGCTTTTTGTAAAAACGTTGAGTGGCCATTTACAGAGCGGAAGACGCAGGTAATGAGCATGGCACTTGTAGGGGAGAGATATAGACGCCACACGCAGATGGAGAGATATATATCCAGAGAAGTATCTCTGGCTATACGGGGTACAAACGATATACTGGGTTCCATAGAGGTGGGTGATCATACTCAACAAAAATGGGTGCCCGTATATAGATGAACTCAGAGAAGTATCACAGAGAGATCGATGGAGGAGAGGAGAGGCGTGATGGCAGACACCCGATCATAAGAGGCCGGTTACATTATACGGTTGAAGCGGTAATTCGCATAGAAGGCTCGTGACACTAGAACAAGCTCAAGAAACGGAGAAAAAGCTTAAAGAAACGGACAAGTAGTGCACACCGTAAAGGTGTATGGCCTAAGTGGTGAGTGTGCATGATATGGTGTTCACAACTGACTCCCCAGCTGCACTTAATATGTGTATAGAGAATGGCAAAGTCAGAAATAAAACGATTCGTGAATTCAATATAGAAAAGTCGGCGCTAAGAAAAGCGTAAAACGGATATTGACTGACTCGGTTCACTTTTAAAATGGATAATTACAGCTTAGAAAATTATATTGAAAAGAATACATTGCCTAGTGACAGTGTGTGCGGCTGTTTGAAATTCTAAACAAAAGAGGAGAATGTGTGTGTTGGGTCTTTGTTCACGGGAAGATATTTTGAATCTCACTCTCTCGTCAGGATTTATCGAGGAGCCAGAACAAACGCGTAGTAGGAGTCTGGAACATAGGTAGTATAGGCTGTATGTATCGTTGTATATATCTACGTCCTGTTTAAATTCAATTGATGTAAACGACACCAGTCAGTATACTGTTCATCTTTGAGGATGTTGAGGAAGAGCCTTACTGGATGATTGGCAGTCAAATACAGATTATTAATATATCGTTCAAAATGATAGGATAGATATATGAGAGAGCTGACATATAGACTAGTTATAACATAAGGACCTTTTAACACAATTTGATGTGCAACTGACACGCGCCAACTCTCGCACATAGTGTGAGTATATATTTAGCCGGATTCTGATATATTATAGATGTCAATTGTTAGTAGGAATATTATGATTCAGGTATATGGGTAACCCGTTGACCTTGTTCGTCAATGTAAACTATACACGCGTTGATAAGGATAAGCCTGTATAGTTGTTACGCAGATACCATGTAAATGTCGAATCTTGTATGTATATAAACGCTTAAAATATGAAAAGAAGAACAAGTATATGATAAGCTTCAGTCATATGTTTATTTTATTATATGGTAACAGTATATGACTCTGAGATTTATGGAGGTATTATTTGTAACGAATGTAAGGGGTATGTTAATCACATATGCGTGGCGTGTCAGTTTAAACTGTTTCTGCCGTGGTTGGCCTGATTGGAGGAGCCGAAGATTGTGTTCTTACCAGATCTTGTCATCTTCCCGCACAGTCGTGACAAATTTAACTTTAGAAATTTGTTGTCCATTTTTCGTGAACGAATTCTTTCATATTTGTATCGGATACAGGCATTGGAATATAAAAAAATGGGTGTTGTGTATACTTTACATGAATCAGTATATGTACAGGTAACAATCCATTTTTCTGTCCTATGTATCTCTTTTGCGACGTGGGTACTATACCATTAAAGAGTGAGGATGTGATTTCTATGTATAATAATCAGCCGATAGCGTGGTTTGATTGATATATTGTATCATGCATATAGAGAATGAGAAAACTCGGAGGAGCATATAGACAGGGGCATTTGATGTGTTGTATATATGAGAAACTATGTGACGCGTGACGCGCGTATAATTATTTAAGAAAAGAGGATTCAGAGTGCCTAGTTCACACGGAGTAATTAAGTTCCTTCAGTAAGTTTTTTTTGAAGGCCCTTTTTTAAATGTTTCCCATAAATGCTTGTTCCATTTGGTCGACTGACACAAGTCTGTAGGTTGTATATTTCAGTCCCGAAATGCATCATAGTCCATCTTGAGGGTTAAAATTCTAAAGACAGAATGAAGAAAAAATCTTAGATTCTGTATTCCTCTTTATACATGAAGGTTTCCTCCTGATTTGGTAAGTTTCTATTCAAGCATTTGATTGCAAGTTATTATGTTAGCTTATGACTTCATGACCTATAATTAGAAATTATTGAAATGCGTTCAATATATAGTAAATTATGATGGTTTCAATATAAAAAATATATATATTTTTACGCAATGAGTGATTTTGATTTCCTGTATGAACTTTAGTATCGACAGCGTCTAAAAGTACTCTTGAATACTTTAATTTGATACCAAAATGAATAAAAAATCGAACGATAAAGTTAAGGTGGTACGAGAGTATCTGTATATATGTTTCGCAAGACAAATTGCTGAGTGGCATAACGCTTTGATCTAACATTGGGTGTACCGGTAAAGATCATAAGTCTATATGTTAATATTTTCAGTAACACTAATGTAGACCCATAAACCTGGCATTTTCTGGAATCTACTGATTAAAAGCTTTTACTTTGTATATAAATTGAAGGGTTGGTTTAATGGAAAATGTTTGGTCACAGAAAATTTCGCCTGTTAACGGCGACGCTAAATTAACATAAGTACGTAGTCACACGATAGTTAAAAGCGAATCGACACAGGGGTGTAAATTAAAGGTATTGAACTGTTCTTTTAATTGGTAGTCAACATTAAGATATATTGTATTCGGTTGCTCTAGTAACGCAAAAAATATATTTTTTTACGCACGAGTATTAGCATCCGTTTGATCGCGTGACTAAAATGTACTCGTCAGACCTTCAATTTGATACCAACATGTTTCGTTCTAAACGAAAAAGTTATGCGCCGTTGTTTCCGCAGAGTGATTTTGTCTGCCATATTGAACTTCTCCTATCTCAGAAACAGTAAAAGATAGATCTATATAATAATACATTTTCTGTATCTACTTGCAGAGATCTTTCAAACGGCATAATAAAGTCGTCGTTATGTGTGTTCTAAGGAGAGATAGTTAAATTACCGGATGGGGGAGAGAGTACACACTGTTATGGCATTGTGTATAGCTTTGAGAATAGTCGGCTTACCACTCATAATCGAGAACCTAGGGTTATTTTTGGCCATTCCTGTCAGGTCTATCATTTGATGCGAAAAATCAAAAGTATAACCGTAATTGTTGCACAAAAGACGAAAAACCTATGTAGTATTTTGTCGGTCATGTAGCGTAACCACGCTGAGTTTTGTTTTTGTATGTATGGTAGTTGATGTTTATATACATTATTGTGTGGAACGGATTTGTGATTAGCAGTGTCGAGAGAGTACAGTGGTGTTCCAAATATGAGTTTTAACGAGGTGCTGCATCTCGCGAGGAGATGTGGAGGTGGAGATGATTAGATCGAAGGCACTCATAAATAATTATTACCGCTTTTTTTACCTTTAGAGAAGAAACCTGTGGCGAACGAGCTTCCGTTGTAGAAGGTTTAGTATTGCACTGCGAGGAGTATTGGGTAAGCTCATGGATGGGAGCATTCCGCTCTTATCACAGTGTGAGAATAAACGCTCGACCAAGTGGCTACTTAAAGGGATTTACTTTAAGCATTTTCAATAGGCCATTGTAGTGTTTCCGTCCCTAATATAAACACTACCCATACTTTGTGGCGACTTTTACACTGTGATAGAGCTTTAGAATAATACACTAATGATTTGGTGTCATTTGGATCGGACCGCCGAGGAGTAAACATCGTAATGTATGTATTTTACGCAGATATTATTAAATTAATTTTACAGTAATGTCCTTATTATTATTTTATATAGAAACAATTATTTGACAGTCAAAATTCGATTAAATTGGAAAATAAATTTTCATATATTTTGATATATGTTAAAAAATTTCTAAGAAACAAATTTAAAGTAATAAATTAAATTGTCTTATTTATAGTATTATAGAGAGTCCCCCCAAAATTTAGTTTTTTTCCTCGGTCGGGTTACAATTATTATCTTATTACTATGTATTTTCCTTTTATTTGGAATGTTTATAGAAAAACACATTAAAAATAATATGTTAATATTTAAGTCAGGTTTTTACGCAGATATTTTATTAAATTATTATTTTACAGGAAATGTCCTTATTATTATTTTAGTATAGAAAAACAATTATTTTTGACAGAGTCATAATATGCGAAATTAAATTGAAAATAAATTTCAATATATTTTGTTATATTTTAAGAATTTTATAAAGAAACAAATTTAAAGTAATAAATTAATTGTCTTATTTATAGTATATAGAGAGTCCAATTCAGTCAGTCGGTTTTCAATTATATCTTTATACTAACACATTAAAAATAATATTTAATATTTAGGTCAGTGTTTTATTACTGAATTAAAAAATATAATCAAGTCCGTTTACATTTTTTTAACAGAAATTCTACTTTTATTCGAACAATGATTTATTAATTAATATGTGTAGTTAAGCACGTATTTTATACAAAGGTTATCTGTAGTTATAATAATGGTGATTAATGCTCCCCCGTCTAGGCCAAGGAACCTGACCTTCAATGTCCGCGATTCAAGCCCTAAGATCGTGTATACATGTCAGCTCCGTATACTTCCGGGAGATATTATTTCTATTTATAACGTGATGATGTCATTCTTAAAAAAGAATCCGAAATGGCCGCCGCGCGTCTGTTATTCAACACGGCCGCCGCGTATGTGTAGTAAGGTCATTTCTTCTATGCAAATGAGTTACTATCAATAGAAAACAAAATGGCCGCCGCGCATGCGCATTCGTGGCCCTAAAGAGGCGCATATACTACTAAGAACATACAGTCTTCACAAAGGTCGACCTCTCGTAAAGCCAAAAAAATCCAAAATATATTTGGCAAAATATTAATGATTTAACTAATTTAGGTAAAAAGGAAAATGTACTTATTCCCGAACGGCTCACTTTTGGCGATACTACATTTACTGATCATGCTAATATTATAAATGAATTGAACAAACATTTTTTGTAAAACATTTCTAATAATTGTCCGAAAAAGTACAGTTATCTAACGAACGAATTTAAAAATATTGAAGGATAAGTTAGATAATAAATTGAAATGGAAGATTCAAAATTGAAAAGCATTTCTGCATTTGAAGTTAAAAACATTAATGATAAACTAGTTATGCAAATAAAGCCACGTGACTAGATAACTAGGTCGCAAAAAATAATAAAATCGTTGGGTGACTTTGTGACCCCAATGATTGCTAGCATAATTAATAACAGTATTAGCACAAGGAATATTTCCGATGAATTAAAAAAATGCCCGAGTTATTTCCAATTTTTTCAAATCTGGACTGAAAGATGATCCGGAGCAACTATCGACCTATTTCTATCTTGCCTACAATATCTAAGATTTTTGAACGTCACATAGCTAATCAGTTACAGCGGTTTTTCAAAAAACAAATATTTTACATAATAAACAGTCAGGATTTCGAAAGAATCATTCATGCAATAACGGCCTAATTCATTTGATAGACTCCTGGCTAAAAGATGTTGATAGTGGCAAATATATATAGTACAGTATTTTTAGACGCTGCAAAAGGCGTTTTGATTTAGTTTGACCATGAAATACTTTTATATAAACTCAAACTTTATCACTTTTCTGTCACATCATTTAAAACTGTTTTCATTGTATCTGTCTAATCGTATGCAAATAATTCAAATTGGAGACTTTAAAATCTGACGTACAATATGTTTACCTCTGGCGTTCCACAAGGCTTCAATATTAGGTCCTTTACTGTTTCTTCTTTTATATAAATGATCTCCCAAATATTTGCGAGGATGTTAACATAGATTTATATGCTGATGATTCAACACGTTGCATAAATCTGGAGATGACATATCCGTTATAGAGGAAAACTAACAATGTAGCCCTTACAATATGGATTAATAAGTGGTGTGTAAAATAAAACCAATATGCTTTTACACCCTAAAAAAATCTAAAAGTATGCTGGTAGGTAGTAGACAAAAGCTAAAGATTGCAAAAGCATTAAATTTGAAAATTAACGAAACTCAACTCTTGACAATGTAGAATCACAAAAAACTGCTTGGTATTTATGTTGAAAATACACTAAATTGGCACTGTCAGGTAAATGATGTGTGTAAAAAATTGAACTCTAAAGTTAATTTATTTCGGCGTATAAAGTACTTTTTAAATAAGGAATCTCGCATGCTTTTTATAATGCATACCTTCTTCCTATTTTTTGATTATTGTTGTAATATATGGGGAAAAGAAAACAAAAAATTATATGCCAAATATACAAAATAACAAACACGGATTTGCAAAATTATTCTAGACCTTCCAATGAGAAAGCCAATCAGAAAATTTATACAAAAGATTAAAAAATATTGCCTTTCAAGAAAAGATGTATTTTTCACACCGGTGTCCAAGTATATAAAGCACTGAATAATATGTCCCCTCAATATAATCGAGACTTACTTACCATATCTAATAATCAAAAGTATAATCTAAGATCGATATCTCACGGAAATTTAATTTCGTCTTACAAACCACGTACTAATTATTTTAATGACACATTCAAATTTAATGACATGGTTATTTGGAATTCCATACCACTGACTATAAGAAGAAAAACAAAATTGTCAATATTTAAGAACAGTTTCAAGAAATACTTATTTAATCAACTTTAGCACGGTCCGTGTGTATTATATATACAAGATACGCTCTTTATATTCATACATGTGTTTTTTATTATTATGTTTTCTAATAATTGGTGTCTATCTTAGTTTTAAGTTTTTGACTGTGTTAATTTTGTAAGTTATTTTTACTTTTTAAATTGCATATTAAAATGATGCACTGAGGAAAGTATTATGTTTAATGATAAATAAAATAAATTGCATGAATGTTTCAGTATATGTGTTTATATATGTTAAAATTGTGATAACCATTTAATCATTTCATTTACATGTTATATTTTCTTTGATTGATATGTGTTCTTTTGTGTGTGTTTTTTTTATTTTTATTTATTTTTATTTTATTTTTTTTTATTTTAGAAGGCCGCATTGTAAATAAGATGTTGCAATCTGTATATGTCTTAATGTGTTACCTTCGGTAAATAAAATAAAGTTATTATTATTATTATTATTAATGGTCATTGTTACAACCACAGGACATTTCGTGAATATAATTGGTCCCTACCTTGCTGATGGAAAGAACAATGATGCAGCCATCCTTAACCACATCCTCAAGTCAAACATAGATGATGTGAAGGATTTTCTTGAAGAAGGAGATGTGCTGGTAGTGGATCGCGGGTTCAGGGACTCTCTAGAGCTACTGGAAGACTTAGGCATACATGCAAAGATGCCAGCATTAATGACAAAGGGACAGAAGCAGCTTCAATCTGATGAGGCAAACGAGAGTCGTTTAGTTACAAAGGTAAGGTATTGACTATTAAATACTTTTAAATACATTTGTATATAAATATTCCTGAAATATGTAATATATTTAGAAATATACATGTATACAGTCAAACATGTGAACAAAGACTATCTAGTGAGAGACATGGTCTTTATAGACGAGTTGTCGTTATGTAGAGGTAACTCAGCTTTTTTAACCAGTAGAGGTTGTAAAAGCCTTTATTTTCAGGGTGATCTTTTTTTTATATTAATTTCTAACACAGGTTTAACTGTATATGGATGAAAATGAAATGCGAGTTTGAATATTGTTTTCAAAACTGGTAAATATTAATGCAATTTATCCACGAAATTACACTGAGTAGTATTAAAATGTGATATGTTTCTTTTTTTCCATTGCAATCGGATATTCATAAAATAACTGTTATTTTATATTAACCGTGAATTAATTAAACAGTGAATTAATCTATCAATATTTAGGATAATTTACAATGGCTTCTTCGTGTTAAAATGCAAAGTATAAATTAATCTAATTTTGATTTATTAAGGTGTATGACCTTTTTCATTTGTTTTGTCTATTTTCAGATAAGGTGGGTTGTTGAGTCAGCAAACGCGCGGATCAAGCGTTTCAAGTACTTAGACAATGTGATGCCAAATAGCCAAATACCATTCATTGGCGACTTTGTACGCATTGTTTGTTCCATCTCGAACAAATACTTTCCCCCACTCAGTAGCACTGACCAGTCAGAGAGTGAAGTGCTATGGCAGCAAAAATGGTAAGATTGTTAGAAAGGGAAAATGAGCTTCAGAAAAAAGTAGAGAAGACAGGTTTAGATAGAAAACAGACAGTGTGGAAGAATGTCGATGAAGAAGACATATATTTCCCAGTTCTAAACAGTGAACAACTGAGTGAGCTGACACTTGGAGTTTATCAATTGAGTCTGTCACCATCATACATTCAAGAACATTTAGACGGAGAGTTCGACATTAAAGGTAAAAAGTCACATAATGTATACATTTAAATATATAGAGGATATTTGTTTGTTTGTGTGTAAGATGAAATTTTATTTCATCGAGTGGGCTTTAAAAACAATATTCTCACGAGTGGCGTAGCCACGAGTGAGAATACTGTTTTTAAAGTTCACGAGATGAAATAAAATTAAATCTTACACAACAAACAAACAAATTTTCTTTTTATTTTATGCTAAAAAACAAGTTTAAACGAAATTTTCATGACATTAACGTAAATATTAAAATCTGTTTTCCCCATTGAGAGCCCCATTTAGTCGGAATTTCTCATTAAAAACAAAAAGTCTTGAGCTGTAAAATAAGTCCGACAATCAACGTTAAATGACAGTGATATTATTTATTTTGTTAAAAAAATATGAATGATCGCTTGTTTTAATAATAAAAACAAACAATTCTTGTAGGAGAAAAATTCCAACCATCCATCCATATTTCTGTTACTTACTGCGTCGGTACCACTAAAATACGCAACGGAGATTTTTTGGCGCAACGGAGATATTTTTTTTAGAAAAACCGGCACAACGCCTTTTTTTAAAGTCAATGTGCTATATTTAAGCATCTAAAATGATTGTTTAGCACTATTAAGTAAGTATGTTTTAAAAGGTTTCATAAATTGTATATGTTTAATTGCACTGAAGGGTTATATGCCTGGCGAAATGGAAATTTCATGGCGCAACGGAGATAATTTTGGAAAATCGGCACAACGTATGTACTAATATATGAAATTAATTAACACCAATGTTATTTGAATCAATAAATAAAAAAAAATTAAAAACCTAAATCGTATAAGCTGCAATGTTGATGTTGTAAAGGATTGTGTGCCGGCGAAATGGACATTTTGTCTGCGCAACAGATTTTTTTAGATTTTTTTTTTTTTTTTGGCGCAACAGAATTTAAAATGGCCTAATTAAGTAGTAATATGACGAAGTAAATCATTAAAGATATTAACTGAATTACTGAAGTGGTGTAATAAAAGTCTGTTTTATTAATTTAAAAATGGAATTAATTACGTTTTTATCGTTATGGCTGACACTGGAAGACAAGTATGGATTTTACAATCTGTTTCATTTTTTCCCGTTCAATTCGTTATTTTTACAAAAAGTACTGTAATAGCTTTTCTATACATAATTTTTAATTGAATTTGCATTAGTATATACTAAATAAACTCATATGTTGATATTACAGAATCAATGTTCAGTATTTTTTTATTATAAACATTCATTGTATTGTTGTTATACCTTTCATAAACTCCGTTGCGCCGATTGATTATTGCGAAACGGAGATTTTATTTTCAAAACTGTGTATTGTTTTTTATGTCTAAAACATAAAATAATCATATAAGTTGGTATTGTTGATATTTTATTCATATTTTTTACATATACTGTATAAGTTTGATTTTATTAGGTAGAATACTGAATTTGAGAATAATAAGTGACAGTCTTTCAAAAATGATTTACTTTCCTTTATTTTAGAAAATGTTGAAAATATGATATTGTAAAAGATATTTAAATTACGGCAAAATGGAATATTTCGGCGCAACGGGGATTATCATAACAGTTTTATCATATCATATTTTATTAATTTATTATCTTTCATTAATCATTGTGTACTTTTTCAATAATTGTTTGTTGCGTATACATTGTATATTTCATCAAAAGCAATCCAAATATTTCATTATTATGATATTGACAATTTTAAATTTTTAAGGTAATCAATTACGCGAGAATTGTTAGCAATTAGCAACGTATCGTGCACGTGTATGGCACGGGTGTTTAATAATGTTTTTAACACTTGTAATAGAAAACTTGACCGTCATCAGTGGCGGATTCAGACTCCAAAATGTTTTATTACGTCTCACATTATATATACACATTGTTTTCTCATAGTTTGGTTATAAGCTTCAAAAGCAATATTTTCGACAATAACAAGTTATAAAAAATATTTAATACCTTAAAGTCAATACATGTTCCTCTTACATTATTTAAATGGTGTGAAAACGCGTGTCCAATAAACATCAACCACGTGTCATTGGTAATTTAATTATCGGTACTTAACACCCGTGATAAACATTCTTCAAATCACCAAATTGCTGTTGTTTCGCTAAATAAACAGTAGCTGCATTTGATTTTAACGGGGTTTTCTGATTGGTAAGCAACGTTCAATTTAATTATTTTATGTGTTTTCACTGTTTTAAAATGGAAATAGAAAGAACATCAAATTCTACATGCATGTCGTTTTACTATTTTAATAATTTCATCAAACAATTAATATTTTATATAGTTACTATTTTTAATTTTAAAAATGCATAAAATATTTCAATAATTACTAAAAAGGTAATGTAATATGGTTAGCAAATTGCTTGCTACTGGTCATGCTTTTAACAAATAAAGTGCAGCAGTAAAGCCATTTAATAAAGCAGCTTTTTGTTGAAATTTGGTAATTTATTGTTAAGATTACATTAAAAATTCCACAGCGTATGCATTACGGACTTTTCGTATTTTTTAAGTAAAATTCTGAAAATTATGTATAGAAAAGCTATTACAGTACTTTTCGTAAACATAACGGATTGAACGGGAAAAAAATGAAACAGATTGTAAATATCCATACTTGTCTTTCAGTGTCAGCCATAACGATAAAAACGTATTTAATTCCATTTTTAAATTAATATTACACCACTTTAGTAATTCAGTTAATATCTTTAATGATTTACTTCTTCATATTACTACTTAATTAGGACAAACATTGTTTTCTTTTTAAATTCCGTTGCGCCAAAAAAAAAATCTCCGTTGCGCAGACAAAATTACCATTTCACCGGCACACAATCCTTTACAACATCATCATTGCAGCTATTTGATTATTTGATATACGATTAAGGTTTTTTAACCTTTTTTTAAAATTTATTTATTCAAATAACATTGACCAGTGTTAATTAATTTCATATATTAGTACATACGTTGTGCCGATTTTCCAAAATTATCTCCATTGCGCCATGAAATTTCCATTTCGCCAGGCATATATAATCCTTCAGTGTAAACATATACAATTTATGAAACCTTTTAAAACATACTTACTTAATAGTGCTAAACAATCATTTTAGATGCTCAAATACAGCATATTGCCTTTAAAAAGGCGTTGTGTCGTTTTTTTTTCTAAAAAAATATCTCCGTTGTGCCTTGAAATTTCCATTTCGCCAGGCATATAACCCTTCAGTGCAATTAAACATATACAATTTATGAAACCTTTTAAAACATACTTACTTAAAAGTGCTAAACAATCATTTTGGATGCTCAAATACAGCATATTGACTTTAAAAAAGGCGTTGTGTCGGTATTTTTCTAAAAGAATATCTCCGTTGCGCCATGAAATTTCCATTTCGCCAGGCATATAACCCTTCAGTGTAATTAAACATATACAATTTATGAAACATTTTAAAAACATACTTACTTAATAGTGCTAAACAATCATTTTAGATGCTTAAATATAGCACATTGACTTTAAAAAAGGCGTTGTGTCGGTTTTTCTAAAAAAAAATATCTCCGTTGCGCCCGTTGCGTCCGTTGCGCCAAAAAATCTCCGTTGCGTATTTTAGTGGTACCCTTACTGCGTATTTATATTAGACCTGGCTTTGTTAAATGTAAGCGGCAGCCATTTTTTAAAGTTGTGTATTTCACGGGAGGAAAATAATTGTGTTTGATTCAGAGGGATATCATTTGGATTTGTTAGTCATACACCTTTTTAAAAGAAAGAAAACATATTTGAGGATTGAAACAGACAAAAAATAAGTGTTGACAGATGTGAAAACATTCAGAAAAGGAGCTTGGAAAATGGAAAACTTGGAAGCTTGCTTGGAACGCTGGGTGGTTTAATAGTCAAAATATATTGACGTGCCAAAGCTTGATTCTGAGATATTTTCGTTATGGGGCAGAATCTCGCTTTAACGTCAAAACCAAAAGGAGACCTTTCTGTGGTGAAACGTGGATTTCGATGTTAATGTAAAAACGAGACAATTTAAACTAAGAATCTATTCAACAATACAATTTTAAGGAATCAACAGCACAAAAAGTGCTAGACTATCAACTTAGAAGAAAGTAAACCACGTTAGTTTCATTTCACCGTCTCGTTTGTGTACCAACGCCGCCATATTGTGATGTTGCTACAGTAATGTAACATGTACGCTAAAAATCGATATTGTTCGGTACCGTGCGTGAATGTTGTCAATTTTTTGCGTGGCAAAAAAAAATATGAAAAGCTGTTAAACAGTGCTTATTATTCTTTAATGTTGTTATTATTAATTATATTTATTGCTACATTAAAATAAATCGCCAGGAAATAATCTTTAACTATTTTTTCTAATTGATTGAAATCTTTAAAATGATGCAGAGAAACTTTTAATTTAGACCTCTTTTTTATAAACATGTTTATTAAAGGATAAACAAATACTGTATTTCATTAAAATTTATATTGTCACCACCCTGTAGTATTATCTATGTTAGAATAATTATGTTAGTTACAACTTGCTGCGTATTAAAATCAGCAACTCCTCGCCTAGGAAAGTTTTGTTTTCCAAACGTGCATTACGCTATGAAAGATTTTTTGAATTCAAATGGTAAATTCTTGCGTTAATTTTTCATTCCTCAACAGTCTTCAGAAAAATAAAATTCGTTACTCCGAGCGCCCATTTTTCGTTTGTCTGCGTGTACATGTACCATTTATCCGTGTAATAAAAGACTATAATCATAGCATGCCGTAATGGCCTGGATATTTGGGTGTTGTTTAAGCGATGTTCCAGAAAAGTTTTTGTTCCGGTATAGAAAATATATTCAACCATGTATTTATTTTTGAAACGTTACGTGTCAACAGGTACGTATGTTAATATACGTACCTGCGTGTCAACTATTCCACAACGCCGACACCGGTACGCTGACCAATACACACTTCGGAAATGTTGACACTGCGCAGTTCTGTTTCTTCCTTACTTAAATTCTTTGTGTCAACTTAGAAATTTATAAGATTAAGTTTTAAATAAATTTGATTTAAAGATAAGTATTTAAATTGGAGCCGTGATTCCTATCCGGAATCAGTTAAACAATTTTCCATGCTGACATGGCCCAAATTGTAAAGAAGTTATTTTTAGATTGTAATTACATGTATTTATTTTTCAATTTATAATTATAAATATACTTGATGATTCATTTTAAAGACGATAATCTTATGCTTAAATTTCTTTCTATAATTCATTTATGAAAATTGTTTAAACGGTGGTAAGAATTTAAATGTGTTACGGTCACGAGTTTCCTCGGTATATTTTCCCGGCTCTGAATTAACGCAAGATATACCAACTTTTTAAGTTTTGTGTTGTGACATTTAATATTTAGGAACTATTTTCTGGTTTTCTACCTAAATTCACTAGAAGGTTAAAATTATTGAAAAAAAAAAAGAACTGAAGGGGCGCCGTGTTTTCTTGCCGATTTTAAAAGTTCGTTTTCCAAAGCAACAACTTTAAGACTTGGGGCAGTAGCAATCTGTATCATATTATTGTTTAAAATGAGTAAACGTGTTGCATAACCCTTAAATCTTATATGATTGGACAAGAATCAAAGAAATCACAGACACTTTGGGTGTGGAGCTCAAAACGCCTTTAAAATCCAAATGAAATGTATATTTGTCAACGTTGGGGTGCTACACGTTTGAATTTGTCGAAAGTTTTTGTAAATGGAGTAAAACGGCGATAATCTCGATGTTTATTTCGGCTGTTGCGTTGTTTATATTGATGTTGAAGTTTAAAATTGACCATCATCATGAAGAATTATATTTTCTGTGTCTGTGGGCCAAAGGATTATGTGAAAATATCGGAAACGGAATAAAATACATGGTGTTTTTGACAGTAGGTGTGCGGATTTTTTCCGGCGAACATTTTTATCTTGTGTATTATTATAGACGTTGAAATATGAATTTTTTTTTTCAAAACGGCTTATATTAAGTATTTATATATATGTGTACATGTGCTGGGATTGACAAATTTCTTTATTTTAAAATCGTTTTGAGCCCCACACCCTACACCTCTGTGAAAGAAATTAGCGGCGCAGCGTTTTGTTTATGTAACATTGTAAAATAACCGCCTTGATTCTTCAAATCGCACTTCGCCATGCGTGTATTTTATAAAAGAAAATAATTTCTAAGACGGCATAAAAGTGAAATGTATGGAATAAATCTTTACTGTATACCAACATTATGAAAGTCTTGCAAAACAAAAAACAACAAACAAACAAAATGAAGCGGGCACCTGTTTCATGAAATAAATTTCCGAGTATTTTTCCCTGTACCACGGTCATTTTAAAACAATTTCATACCTACGTGTGTGTGCGTGTGTGTGAGTTTTTCTTCCTATAAACATCTTCAGAAAGCTTTTTGGAATAAACTAGCAAGAATTATGGACCTGCGTGGATAAGAAAATATAAAAAAATAAAATTACATGGAATGTTGTTTCCGCACATACATGTATAATGTCGAGGCACCGCGTTTGACATTTATTCGTTTTATACCGCGTTTGACATTTATTCGTTTTATTATTGATAAAAAATATTTTGCACATTGAAAATATCGTTTAATAGTTAATCAACATTAATATAAATAACAGACTGTCAAATTCCTTAGAATGTCGTCCTCTCGTAGTCGCTATGGCACTAGGAATCCGTTCGTTGCTCTTTAAACATACAAACCTCATGTTTCTGCTATTAACATATTCCTATTTTCATCATAATCGTGGGGAAAAAAATCTATAGTTACCAATAGGTCTATGTCCTATATTTACTGATAAAGCTGAACAAAACATTTTTTTTATAAACTAGAAAATATTTTGTGAGGAGTCCATTTACAGAGTAGCTTTTCTAAAAAGTCAGATAATGATGATTCTGATATTTCTAAGAACGCTCTGACAATAACGAATAAATTTTGCATCTGCCCCAATAAAATAATATTTTCATCCTTTCATAGTTATTTTTTTTTTGCATAAATAAATGTCTTAAATATAACATTAAACTTGATATTTTACTAAGAGTGTTTCGGCGTTTCTCAGTAATGCAGTACCGCATACACACCAGTGTAGTAATCAACAGTGTATTTGTCACGTGACATTAGCGGCGATGTCTTTATTTTGATGGTTCATGTGTTTACTTTTCTACCAAAATCTTTATGTTAGAAATATTTTCACAAATAAAACATGAAATTGATGTAGAAATGAATAATCTTTAAAGGTATCGTAACAAATTTATTCAAATATGAATTCTAATACAATTTTAGACGATCCAAAGCTTGCGCTCAAAATCCCGGCGCAAATTTCACCACAGAAAAGGTACTTTTTATGTTGTACGTAGAGGCGAGATATTGCCCAGACACGAAAATAGCACAATATCTCGTCGCGCAGTACAATTAGTTGGACTAGGTGGTTTAATTGTTCTACGAGGTGATAGCTGTAATTGCTTTTCAATTTTTCATAAAGCGTACGGCAGTTATTGCTCGTAGGATACTTTAATGTGCCCAAATGTCATCAAGAGCAGTTTGCATGTGGAAGGAATGTATTTGTCCGACTGTAAAAATGAAACAAAAAATTTAGAGATGAAATTTGGTGATTGGAATTTGAATGAATAGAAGTAAGTTTTCTTCTTTTTATTACTTTTGACATTTAAGTTGATTATCAATTTCAGCTTTGAGTTTTCTTTAAACAGCCTGATATTGTCAGAATTGTCAGTAAAAATAAAATTGAGGTACCACATTGGGAAAATCTTAAAAAAGTAGTTTCGTCATTGAAAAAAGTGAAATTATATTTTGATAATTTTCACTGTGAAATTACCAAATATAATTTTCACGGATAAATCAGTAATCCACTGAAAAGCATAAAATAAATATGTCCATATCGGCAAAATGGTAGGAAGGTTAGTCTTCTTTTATAAATTAAATGTATTATACACGGTAATGTGCCTATCTTCTGTGTATCCTATTTTGACTTAATATACCTGTTTACAAATGACTTCTTAAAAAGTATGCTTTGTTAGTTATCTAGTTTAAAAATTATTATTTTGGTGCTCATTTATCAACTCACTTTTCATATATATTATTAGTTATAAAGATTTTGACAGGTTATATGGCCCTATATAAACGGTTGTGTGTAAATATAACCCGAGCCGCTAGGCGATGGTTATATTGCAAACAACCGTTTATATAGGCCGTATACTTTGTCAGTAATATTTACATCGAATTTATAATACAGCAAGCATCATTTTTAGAGGAATAAAGCGAGATTTCTTTATAAATCTTCAGCAGCCGCGTATATAAAACTATATAAACGTCATGAGTAGTCAATGAAAAGCGACGTAACAAACGTGCAGTATTATAAAGAATCTAATAAAATCCCATCAAAACCTAAACAATTGATATTTAAACATTTATTTCTACAGTCAACACAGATGATCCAAAACTACTTTGTGTTAAGATGCAAAGCAGACACTCTTCATCAAAAAGATATATGCTTTGGATTCAAGTTGAAAACGAGGCAGTAGATGGATGGTATTGCACATGCAGGTGCGGCTCAAGAGTAGTTGGGATGTGTGCCCATATTGCTGTCATAGTGTGGTATCTGTCCAACGGACGTCATAGCGGGAGAGAAAGTTATGGTGTCCGTGATTGGGGTGTACACCTTTCAGTCGCCGCTGAATTTAAAATCGACGTGGCAATTGACGAATCATCTGGCAGTGATACAGACTGATATATCGTGCGACGTTGTTTACCTCATTACCATAAAACAATGCTGATACAACTTTCATTTTTATTAACTTTTTCGTTTTTTAAAGTAAATATCAAGCAATATTATTACATTATTTATTTACACAGAGATAAAAACATGGTGTAAGAACTGATACCGACATTCTATCTTTATGGTGTAATGATGCTGAATAACAACTGTTAAATTTTTCACATATTTGTTCAATATATCTAATTCAATTGCTTGTGAAAAAGTTTCAAGCGAGATCATATAAATTTTCTTTAAAAAGTTGTCATATATTTTTGTAGCTTGTTGATTGTTGATATATATAATAATTGTTCAGATTCAAGAACAAATATTTGAGTCGTGTCACGACAAAACCAACATAATGGGTTTGCGACCAGCATGGATCCAGACCAGCCTGCGCATCCGTGCAGTCTGATCAGGATCCATGCTGTTCGCTTTTTGTTGGTTTTGTCGTGACACGGCTCATTTAAATATCAATTTTATTTTCTTACCCTTTTATTTAAAAAGCAATGTTCACATTAATCATTCTGTTATTAACGCTATGTTTGTATTTTACTTTGCAAGCATCATAACCAATTATTTTTTTTTATTCATTATGTTTATATTTATTATGTTAAATATGTGATATTTATGAATATTATACTTATTGACTATTCCTGCAACTAGTTTTATTTATTTCGTTATCAATTCTTCTTAAGTAATTTTGTAAATCTAATGGTCATTCAATTCATATTCAAATTTTAAAAGCGCAAAATTTATATTTTTCAAGAAATAACATGTGTATTTCACCCCTTAAAATATAATAATAAACAAAACTCCAAAATTGTCCGAATTTTGTATATCCGAAAATTGGTCAACTGCGTAAAAAATGCTTTATTCTTGGAAAACATTTAATTAATACAGTTAATTTCATAAAAGCTAATTAGTTGGGTAAGGATTATTCTTAAAGGGAAAATAAACATTAAATATAGTAGACGTTATTTTTATTTTGCGAGATCAATAAACGTTTGATTCTAATATTAACTGGATTAACGGGCGTTAATGATTTAGAGAAAATTTTGACGTTATCGTTAAGAATTTTTGTTAAAAAATGTTTCTTTCATCAACTAGATATATTGAACCTCTAAGTAAAATGTTTTTCATCTATTTCTGAGGTTGGGCCATTTTCGGTGGTTAGTGAACCTAGCTCTTTTGTGCTAGAGTTGTAAACCTTGTCACATATGATGTGGTTGATGACAAGCAACTTATATTTAAAGTTTGAAGAAAATACCTTAAGAAATAAAGAACTTATAGTGAAAAAACTTTAAAACTAGAATCAGAAATCTTGAAATTCAGTCTATTTGTTGCCATAGCAACCAGAATTTTCAACATAGGAAGATAAAAAAGGATGTGCATAATTTCCATACTGCCATCTACCCATATGTCAAGTTTCATAAACATATTTTCAGTACTTTTTGTTTTATCACTGGATCCAGGTTATGTGTAAAATTTGCCATATTTTCAGTCTATTTGTTGCCATAGCAACCAGAATTTTCAACATAGGAAGAAAAGAAAAAGAGGTGCATAATCTCCATACTGCCATCTATCCATATATCAAGTTTCATAAAAATATTTTCAGTACTTTTTGCGTTATCGCGGGATCCAGGTTTTGTGTAAAATTTGCCATATTTTCAGTCTATTTGTTGCCATAGCAACCAGAATTTTCAACATAGGAAGAAAAGAAAAAGAGGTGCATAATCTCCATACTGCCAGCTATCCATATATTAAGTTTCATTAAAATATTTTCAGTACTTTTTGCGTTATCGCGGGATCCAGTTTTGTGGACTGACGGACGGACAGACGGACGGACGGAGGGTAAACCTAAAGTCCCCTCCGGTAAACCGGTAGGGGACTAAAAATGCTATGCCACCGCATAAATACAACACTAAAATAGTAATGTAGGAACACATTTTTTTTGTTTTGACCCAAGGGCTTTAATTTGAATAATCTTGCTAAAGGTTCACTACACAATGTTTACTGCAAAATGTCTCACCTCTAGCCTTTGTCAATTCGAGAAGGTGATTTTTTAAAGTTTTTACTATAAACATGTAAGGAAAACCTATGACCCCGGGGCAGGGCTAGTTTTGACACTAGTGGCAAAATTTGAACAACTTTGGTAGAGTACCTATAGATGATATCATATACCAAATATCAAAGCTCTAAGCCTTGAACCTTCAGACAATAAGATTTTTTAATTTTTTACTATATGTACATAGTGAAAATCAATGACCCCCGGGGCTGGGGCCAATTTTGACCCCAGGGCTATAATTTGTTCAATCTTGCTAGAGGTTCACTACACAAAGTTTCACGCAAAATATCTAACCTCTAGCCTTTGTCAATTTAGAGAAGATGATTTTTTAAGTTTTTACAATATACATATGAGGAAAACCTATGACCCCCGGGGCAGGGCTAATTTTGACACTAGAAGCAAAATTTGAACAACTTTGGTAGAGTACCTATTATATAAGATAACACATACCAAATATCAAACCTCTAAGCCTGGTACCTTCAGACAAGAAGGTATTTTAAGTTTTTACTACATGTACATATAATGAAAATCAATGACCCCCGGGGCGGGGCCGATTTGGACCCCAGGGATATAATTTGAACAATCTTGGTAGAGGTCTACCAGACAATGCCTTATGCAAAATATCCAAGCTCTAGGCCTTTTGGGTCTTTACAAGAAGATTTTTTAAATTTATTCTTATAATTCCTTTTGGTTGCCATGGCAACCAGAATTCTGCATGGAATGAAATTCTTTGAAAATCTTATATTTATTGCACAACTAGAAATTGAAAACATGTGATAGAAACTCACACATTACCACATTATTCTTCGTATAAAAGCAGCCAAATCGTGTTTTTGACAGGACCTTTTTTGCTTGATTACGAAGAAAATCTATGCTTACTTACCTGTGTTTGATTATAGATGTTCACCAATATTCACTAAAATTTAATCATTATTAACTTACCCTTGGCTTGATTGATAAAGAAATGTAGTAATATTTACTTACTCTTCTTGTTTTTTTGATATTTTTCCTCCTCTGATTGTATAGAAGAGACGACATGGTTTCTTTTCTCTGTTAAATAGACATACATTTAATCAGTATATAACTCTGATTATTTTTCTAAATATATTCAATTTTTAAGTTGTATGGTTATATGAATAGACTAAATATTGTCAGTAAATGGGTAAACTTTCAAACATTGCGGTATATTCAATTCACATACATGTATTTATATTTCTCCATAAGGTATTGAAAACTATTTATGACTTTTTTTAGGAAAGTTGATTAACAGATTCATAAATACATTCTGAATTAATAAAATTATGTTTTACCTTACGTTAATAATAGCAAGTTTGTATAGAGACATAATCAATATACGTTGTTTGTAATTTGCTCTTTTTCTTGTCAATATTTTTCATAAAATAGACAAACAGACCTGCATCTTGTCGTTTTTCTATTGCCTCCAGTTTATTCTCCACTCCAGTAAACTTTGCTTCTACTTCTTTCTTCACTTCAATAACATCTGTTTGCACTTGTTTCATTTCCTCATTCAATCGATCAACATTGGCTTCATAGTCCTTCCACCTTTTTACTTCTTCTTGTAACCTTTTCTCTTCTTCCGGATCTAGAGGGCAGGCTTTGAAATTGGCAATTATTTGTTGGATGTTCAGAGCTGGAGAACTTTGTCGAACAAGTATCTGAAAGGAATCTGACTATTTAGCTTGACATGTGGTTATCTATTTATTTTCAAAACAAGTTAGTTTCTGTGTTGGTTTATTTAATAATGTTAGTGATTTACCATACGACACATGTTATGATGTATGAATACTCAGAGATCATTGAATAAAATGAATTTTAAAATTAATTAAGTATATGAAATAAATTAATTAAGTATTGTTCATATATACTACCCTGTCATTGGCTGATTTTCCTGGCAGACAATTTTACAGGTTCATCGTCTTTAGTAAAACATTAAATTTAGTAAGACATAAATTGAAGAAATACTTAGTGTATTATGGAAAAGCCTTTGTCCTTTGAAATGTTAGAGAGCTAGCAGAAACATGAAATTGGTCAATATGAAATGACATATACCATGCAGGCGTAACTCATTAATTTTAAACTGTTATAGCTCAGGACTGTTAAATATACATAAGAAAAAACAAACAATAAAAACACATATATATAAAAATCGAAATCTTTATTAATTTTTTTATTCTATTTTTAATGGATTTTAATATAACATAACGTAACAATGTATATTTCCCGCCATCTTGGACGTTGACGTCGTGTGACGTCTCTTCCTGTTTATTCACTTCCTGTTTATTCACTCACTGACGACAAGAACATACTTGTTCGAAATCGATTTGAATAAAAAATATTTGAATGTACGCGTGTGGTTGGTCTTTTTGGAATCATAAATATACATCAGCAAATTTCATTCATTACAAAGGCCCATTATTCTCAAGAAATGCATTTTATGCTTTATTTTAAATCAGTAAATGCAAATAAGCATTTTTTACGTTCTTTGTAATGTAAACTTATACTTTATTAAAATGTCGTTGTAGGTAACTGTCTTTCGATTAATTAATTGTAAATAAATATCTTGGGAATATAACTTTCAGCGAGGGACTTACAGATAAATAAAGGATGTTTTCAAACCATTGTGCTAATACCTGCTCAATGTCATTCCACCAAGTTACAAATTCATTGGGTTGTATACCAGTTGTTGTAGGTAGATGACATATCTGAAATTATAATTGGCATAACAAGTGTAATAGCGAATATATCCCTGCATTCATCTGTGTGATGAAGATATTCAAGAAAACATTTGATCAGAAACACCTTTGACATTTTTGATGCAATGTGTGTAATGGAACGAGACCTTTAAATAAATGATGGAGTTCCTTAACGTAAGACCTGATGGTACGCCAGATAGTCAAAGGAGGAAATTTAACGAGCATTACACAGTAAAATCATGCAAATGTGTGTTGAAGTTCTGTAGAATGTATTTCTTCTTGTTTAAAATTAATGTTAAAATATCTGTTATGGCGATGCACTTTGTCCTTATGAGATTTAATAGAGACATTTCTTGCTGGTACCTTTAAAACAGAAGACTTGTAATCCAAAAATTACACATAATTCTTCAGTCCAATTGAAAGTTTTAAAATAGTAATGATTTTTTTGATAGCGTACTTACTTCATGTCGATAATATTTTAACCGACATATATCTGCCTCAACTGTTACATCTGATGGTATGGGTGTTCTGCTCCAGTCAAATTCCTTCAATCCAAAACACTTCAAGCATCTTAGAAGACAAATGATAAGCGTGAAGTCCATCTCTGACGTAGTTGGGTCTTCACCGTCCGTAGGAAACAATACGTCATATTGTTCCTGTGTTATAATGCCGCGGGTTCTCAAACGTGTAATTGTTGTCCTTTCTTGATTCAAACATGAACTAAGAGTTATGCCTTGAGCAGCCAGTGTCTGGTCAGTTATATTTCTGACAACAAGGAGGCCTCCATCAATAATGATAATTTGTAAACGGTATAAATTGACATGGTTTTCTGGCATCTGTGACATTTTCCTATTTGTTGTCTAATCCTTGTTAAAGCATCATCTGGTGATAAATAAAGATGGTACATGTAGTTATTTTTGAATATTGGATAATTGATTCATTAAAATTAAAACAAGAACTGTCGGAGGACAGTATTGGCTCGACTATTCGAAAAAGTTGTCACAAGGGTGTTTTATTGAGTATAATAATGCTAATTACCTATGAATACATAAAATTGACTGAAAAGGTACAAAGGCTTGTTATTAAGATGTTTTATCAAGTAAATCACTGCTTTATTATTATGGATGCATAAAATTGTCCCAAAAAAGGCACAAACCCTTCAGTAGTTATGGAGATACATGTAACAGCTTACAAGCAAAACTTTACCATGAATTTCTAAGTTGAAAAAGGGGAGAAAAATCAGCCTAAATGCAAGGTAGAATTATGGATCTTGGTCAGTGACCCTAAATGCATATGTGAAGTTTTTAATAAATATCTTTAATAGTTATTGAGATATGTAAAACTTGCATGTAAACATTAACCAAGAGACTAAGTAGAAAAGGGGGATGAATCAGCATAAATGCAAGATAGAGTTATGGAACTTGGTCAGTGACATACAATTATGATCCTCCAATTATGACCCTAAGTACATGTGTAAAGTTTCAAGTAAATATCTTTGAAGACCTTTAACTTTAAACCAAAATTTCTAAGTTTCAAAGAGGCAAATAATTCTGCAATAATATTGCAGGCAGAGTTATGCAATTTTGCAAACTAATGTACATTGTTACTATAAAAAAAAGTATTGTAAATTTCAATTGAATATCTCAAGCAATACTTGAGATATTTGACTTTACAAAAAAACTTTAACCAAACTTTCTAAGTTAAAAAGGGGCTTAATTCTGTAAATATTGTAGGCAGAGCTATCCAATTTGTCAATCTGATGTACATTGTTACTATAAATAAGTATTGTAAGTTCCAATTGAATATCTCAAGAAATAATTGAGACATTTGACTTTACAAAAAACTTTAACCAACGCCGACGCAGACATGTACGCCGACGCGACTACAACAGCTCTCATATTCTTCGAATAGTCGAGCTAAAAATGATGTTTTGAAACAGGAAAAATGTTTCAAAAATATGTTTGTAGTAAGCAATATTTTTATTTAAGTATTGTCAGATAGTTTGATGAAAATAATTTCAAATTTGAAAGATGAGGATATTTTGATGACATTTAAGTATTGAAAGAAAAAAACAGCAAACTTCTGCCGAATGCATATTTCTATTTTCATGGAAGAATCCTTTGTTATCCGAATCCTACTCTATACATGGTGTCATTATCAAATATCAAACAAGTGCTGAGGATTGATATTCAATTGTCTTTTTTTATGTATTTTTTATAATGTTTGCAACGCTACCAAAAAGGGCACAAAATGGACAGATGCCGACAATTGGTCCTGAGAAGGAGCCAATTACTTACCAAAGGGGAGTTCAAGTTTAGTCAGAGTTGCAGATACGGAATGTAGGGAAATAAGGAAGAGATAGACGAGTAAAAATGGAGGAGGAAGAAACCCTTAGCAAAAAGAAAAAAAAAATGCTAATACCTAACACTCAAAAAAGACATAAAAAGAACAAGGTGGGCAAAGCTTTGAAACGGTCAATGGCAAACATTACTGGAGAGTTAAGCTGGGGTAAATTCTCCCTAGCGCCAATATGTACTTTAAAGCGAGCCATTTGTACCCATTGTCACCGCTGTAGCGTCTTTAGATCCTTTTATGTGAAGAAAGCTATTTTATTTGGCTTGCTCACTGAACGTCGGTGGTTCTACTCAAGTGTCCGTGGGATCAAGGTGTTGTGCATAAATACTGTTTTATTCTGGCTAGTGAATATCATCGCTTTTAAAATTCTACATTTAAAAGACGCATGTATTGGTATTGTTTATTTTACATTTATTTTAGCATTATGTTGTAACGTTTTCTGACAAGTGAATATCAATTCTACCATTCTGACTGGGCATTTTTTTTCTTTTACAATACCAATTGAAGTGTTTCGAAAGTATCTTTTCATAGATAAGATGTAAAGTATTATAACATTGAAATTGTTATTTAGAAATTAATCATACAAATTAAATACAAACAAGAAACATGACAAATAAAATATCATACATGTATATGTAATTGTAACCTTCAATGATATAAATCAATGTGATTATGATTGGCTTGCTGTTATAATCCAACATTAACAATGTGGCCATACCACGTGACTTTCCGGATACGGAGCACGCCGATTTTTCACCCGATTCAGGTATGTTTTTTATTCATAACTTATTTATTACTCAACCGATTTTGATCAGATAAGGCGCAGAGTACCCGTAATTATATTAGCTTTCCAAGGTATATCAAAATTCTGAAAACCCCTGAATGGTTTCTGAGAACATTCGAGTACAGTTTTCTTCTCATAGCCGGGGCCGAGGGGAAAGGTACACACGTATTTGCGATTTCTAGCAAGTCATATGTTTTTTGTCGCTATTTCATAGAAAAATACATGTTAAATCTGATATATTTACTATGTCCAATGTATCGAGTGAATGCAGTGATGTTTTAGCATATTTTCATAAAGTTATGTTGAAATGGTACGGAGCACACTGTTATTTCAAAAGATACGGTACACACACAATTTCTGTCTTTGAATTAATTCTGAAATAAAATATATGAAAATTTAATTTAAAATTAAAACTTAATACAAGCCGTTTTGAAAAAATTCTATAATAATACACAAGATAAAAATGTTCGCCGGAAAAAATCTGCACCCCTACCGTCATAATCACCATGTATTTTATTCCATTTCCAATATTTTCACATTAAATCCTATTGTATTATTATAGATGTTGAAATATGAAATTTTTTCAAAACGGCTTATATTAAGTTTTTTTATATATACAGATATATGATCAGTACATGTGCTGGGATTGACAAATATGCATTTTATTTGGATTTTAAAGGCGTTTTGAGCTCCAAACCCCAAGTGTCTGTGATCCGCTATACCCCTAAAATCCGCTACTGCCTAAACAACTGTAGCACACACAAACGCCCAGCGTTTTTCCACTTTTATGCATAAATCGTACACAAATAGAAGTATTGGTCGAGCACTGGGCTGGTCGAGCACAGATTCTGTGACTCTAGAGTCAGTGTACCCGGTTCCGCACAGGACCCTGTCCCGCACACTTTACCATTTTTCATTTTTTCTTGAAAATTCAAATGAATTTATTCAGTTTTCATTTGTGTTTCACTGAACTGGCATGTTTTCAACAGGATATGACATAATCTGGGATCTTGCCCCCCCCCACCCTCTCCCTGGAGAGTGCCGACGAAAATGTTAATACATGTATGTGGCTGTGTAGGTCACACATAAAAACATCTTATTCAGCAATTAAACCAATTTTTTGCTAATTTCTATTTTAATGTTAAGATTATTATAAAAAGAAACGTATGTTTTTGTTATGGCAAATTTGCTGTTAGTTATGAAATATGCACATGAATTAACTCCCAACTACCAAACATCAAGTCATTTCACCTTGATTCTTTTTAAAAATAAAACCAAACTCTTAATCGAACAAATCATAACTAAATAGATGAAAAAACTTTCAATCATAATTTTTTTGTCTATGCTTGCTACCTACATGTTGTAAAAAAGTATGTAAATCCATTGCTGTTACATGTTTCCTGTGTGCTACTCTTCTTGAATACTGTAGTAAGAATGTGCTTTAAATTTATTTGAAGTCCTGAAAATTTGCAAAAATAATATACCTAATCAGGACTTAGAGATGTTAAATAATTTATAAAACATGTTTAAGATGTAAAATAACCTTTCAGTATAAAAATGGCCTTGTGTGCCGAACCGAGTCCACTATTTATTATATTTGGCCCATTCCTGTTGCTTAAAATCAAGTGCGCCTAGAAGTATGACCTACTTAAGATAGAAACATTTTGGTCATCAGTTTTTATGGGCAAAGGATGTAATTTTCAAAATAATATCAATTATAAGAAGAATTTTTAACTATAAGATAATTTTCTTATTTTTCCTTAAAAAAAGTGTACGACACTGGGTACACTGACTCTACCTTTCAATTAATCAGACTGTAAAAATTGTTTTGAAATATTCATAAAACTGGTACTGAGTAATTTATAAGCGAGCTCGACGAGCTGGCCCGAAGGGCCTGCTCGCAAAGTGAGCTTTACGGTAACGCGAGTACCTGCTAAGTGATGGTTTTGAAAACTTTCGTCCAAAGTACCGAATTGGACACATCGCAACCTTACGAATTTAAAGATAACGATAAAAACTGAGGAATTCTGACTGAAAACGGATGTCTAGACTGGTCACCCGCGCACGTCTATGGGAACCATAATTGGACAGGGAACCAGAATAACGGAAGCTGTGTATAAAATATCGAATGATAAAATGAAAATCGAAGGCGCCATTTTGTTTGAAATCTGATAAATAAAAACTATTTTTTGTCGAATTTTGTTGTGAAAACTATCTAGAATGAAAGAAAATGGTCTAACTAAGAAAATGAATCCGAACACCAATATCTTTTATTCAGTCGTTAACGCTGTACAGACGTTTTAAGTATTGTTTACGTGACGTCACAATGTAGCGCCAAACAGCACGTGCAAAACAAACAAATCAAGTACGCTATTTTAATGTCGCAAACGTTTTAAGTTTTACATTTATTTCACTTTAAATAATCTTTATTTCGTTTGAAAAAATATAGAGTGAAATAAAATAAACAAAGTTTTATCAATGTTTTCAAAACTCGTTATTCATTTCACGACAGGGGCGGAGCCATATTTAACACAGTACGTGTGACCAATCTCCTACGCAGTGATCTCCCCTTATCAGTACAGAGATCTCTGCCATCACAAACATTGAAATATCAATATTTGGATATTTATATTTTTTAGCTTTTTAATTTATTTTTCATTATTTTGTATACTTTTGATAATTTTTTGATAAAATATAACGGACGTAGGTACAAAAAGTTAAAAATAAAACAGAAAGAGAAAAATGACGTTAGAATTTCTATGTAACGTTCGATATTTACATTTGAATTTCGACGTTACGTCATGTGACTTTCATCATCATGTGACGTCTGTGAAGGCAGTGATTACAATTCTGCCAAGGGAGGTAATCACTGTGAGGAGTTTGACGTGTGACGTCACACGCACTCGTCACTGCATTTGAAATAAAAATGAGCGATTATTTCATACTATTTCACGTAAAAAGTACATCGAGCTCGCTGTGAGGCTTTGCCTTTTTCAAATTATCATGAATATCCATACTAGGAAACGTATCCAAAAAAAAAAATACTGTTTATGACAAGGAAAAGTACCAGGAAACGATAAATTTTACTTACCAACGACGTCTTGCAAATCTCATACCGGAAGTGTGAAAACGAAAGTAACATTTTCGTGCATGCGTACTTGCATATCTCATGAAAATTTCAATCGCAACTACTCGGCCCTTTCCGTCAGTCTTCGGATATGTTATAGATAATAGCCGAAGCAGTTCCGAATGTGAAAATTTGTTACTCTATTTCCATTATTATTCTGATCAAATATACTAAAGGGTTAACGCACGTTTTTCCGTGTTATAACGTCTGCAGAGTCCCGAGGAACAGTTGGTGCCCGAGCCTGGTAGGGCGAGGGCTCCAACAGTTCCGAGGGACTCTGCAGACTTTATAACACGAAATAAACGTGCGTTGACGCTATTATAGCATAAAATTTTAAAACAGATTCATGATGTCGATTTAATACAAAGCACATACATTAAATCCTTGTGCTTGGACGGTATTTATCCAATTCTACATGTTTTACGTATGCGTTTTATTTTTCCGGGGCCAACATCTTTGGAAATACAATTTTAATTGATTTAAAAAAAGCTTAACATCGGAGATTTATTAACTTAAGAAAAAATACACATTAGATTACTCTACACAAGACAAAACATGACCCTCAGAAATTCCTAGAATTATTTCTGATTGACGGTAGAAAAAAGATCAATGACATCAGAATCGTTTTATTTTTCAAGCACACAAGTTTATAAAATAAACCAGGCACTAAACATTATTCTCTCAAAGAAATATAAAGAGCATTTATCAATATAAACGTCAATAAAACAACATTTTCTCATATTAATTTTGTGTTATCTTGTTTTGTAAGTTACTCGGAGGGTTTGTTTACATTGACAACGGTCCGTTTTTTAGAAAGGGCGACAACTAAGATTAACGGCGATGTCTATAGGGCCTACGCCGTATTTCCGGCATGGTTTCTTGAATGCTGCTCGCCGTTACTTATGCGATTGATGCCCTCGAATCAATAATTTCAATAGACCCATTGCACAATGACATCACAAGCACCTGCTACCAGAATTTAGCAGATTTACCGGTTGGCAAGAAGAACCAATATTTATAAACAATATATAGCAGCAGAATTTTTAAATTCTTATAACTTTTTTATTTGTGGATCGATTTTTTATATTCTTATATCATTAAATGAATTTATGTATCTTCAGCAACCTTTATTGCTTACAGTAAAAATTATTTTGTTTTGTATAATTTATTTCTTAAAATAAGGATTGTTTTTACCAAAACAGCAACATTCTTTTACATTATGACAAATAAGTAATACTATGTAATATTATGACATTTAATTACTACTAAAATATATCTTCTAAAGTTCTAAAGAGTTTCATTTAATTTTGTGTTAAGTATTTAAATACACTTTTAGAATGTCAGTTTCTAAAAAATTGTAAATTTTGATTGGCAAACTAATTGTAAAATTCAAAAAGTGTTTTCCTGGTGCATAATTGTCAATTTTATTATGTTTCAATAGTGTCTATCATGCATTTATTGAACTTATATACATATTAGTTACTGGTACAAATGTTAAAAGAATAAAATGTTTCCTTAGATAAAATATTTCAGTTATTTTAAAGTGGGGTTTAGTATATTATAAGATTGAAATATATTTCATACAATGAACACCCGATGCGATATTTTGACACAGCCACAAGTGATAAAATAACACCATTATAACATTTAAATGAAATATAATTTGATCTACCAATTGCAAAAAATTTATTTCATCTATTTTTAAAGGTTTTAAGGCACTTTGATTTTTGTCTGTGTATCATCATAATATATATTACTTTATCACATTATGTTTATATTCAAAAAATAATTCTGTAGTATTTCATGAATTCTGTTTGATTTTTAACTTATGTGCAAATATTTAAGTGCTTAATTCTTATCATATATCACATTATACTAATGACTAAGTGTATTTCTCACAATATGTCCATTTATTACATGCTTTTCAGTGGACAGTAAAATTATAAAATATAATTATCACAGTAGCCAGACTATATCTAAATGCGGATGAAAAGAATATAACTTAAATACATAGAAATACTGTCCGATTGCGAATACACACCATTATGAGAAAATGTGCTTGAATACGAGAAACACATAAATATCTAGTTATCTACACAGTCATATCATTTTAAAAATGTAACATTATTTCGTAAAAGTTTACAGGATTATTTCTTAACAAGAACTATGTGACATGATGATTTTATGACATCATTAATGAGAGCGCATGTCTTTATTTGGCAAAAGTCAGGAAAAAAAATTATTAAAACCGATAAAAAAGCATGGAATAAATAGCAAATTTGTTCTTTATATGCAAGATCATATTATATTTGTAAAATTATAGTCACAAAACAATTTTTTTTATAAATTGAATTAATGATATTATGATATATCTTTATACCCCCGCATAACAAAGTTGTAAGGGGGGTATACTGGAATCAGCTTGTCCGTCCGTCCGGCCGTCCGGCCGTCCGTCGGTTTTTTCTTGTCCGCCCAATAACTTAAGATTCCTTTGACCCTTAGTCTTCATATTTGGTATGGAGGTTAGTCATGGTTAGTAGATGACCCCTATTGATTTTGAGGTCACTAGGTCAAAGGTCAAGGTCACAGGGGCCTTGACTTCAAAAAGCTTGTCCGTCCAATAACTCAAGATTCCTTTGACCTACAGTTGTCATATTTGGCATGGAGGTTAGTCATGATTAGTAGATGACCCCTATAGATTTTGAGGTCACCAGGTCAAAGGTAATGGTCACAGGGGCCTTGACTGAAAAAGGCTTGTCCGCCCAATAACTTTAGGTTCCTTTGACCCACAGTGTTAATATTTGGCATGGAAATAAGTCATGCTAAGTAGATGACCCTTTTGATTTTGAGGTCACCAGGTCAAAGGTCAAGGTCACAGCGGCCTTGACTTCAAAAAGCTTGTCCGCCCAATAACTTAAGATTCCTTTGACCCATAGTCTTCATATTTGGCATTGAGGTTAGTCATGATTAGTAGATGACCCCTATTGACTTTGAGGTCACCAGGTCAAAGGTCAAGGTCACAGGGGCCTTGACTTCAAAAAGCTTGTCCGACCAATAACTTAAGATTCCTTTGACCCACAGTTTTCATATTTGGCATGGAAGCTAGTATGATAAGTAGATGACCCCTAGTGACTTTGAGGTCACCAGGTCAAAGGTCAAGGTCACAGGGGCCTTGACTTCAAAAAGCTTGTCCGCCCAATAACTTAAGATTCCTTTGACCCACAGTCTTCATATTTGGCATGGAGCTTAGTCATGATTAGTAGATGACCCCTATTGACTTTGAGGTCACCAGGTCAAAGGTCAAGGTCACAGGGGCCTTGACTTCAAAAAGCTTGTCCGCCCTATAACTTAAGATTCCTTTGACCCACAGTCTTCATATTTGGCATGGAGGTTAGTCATGATTAGTAGATGACCCCTATTGATTTTGAGGTCACCAGGTCAAAGGTCAAGGTCACAGGGACCTTGACTTCAAAAAGCTTGTCCGCCCAATAACTTAAGATTCCTATGACCCACAGTCTTCATATTTGGAATGGAGGTTAGTCATGATTAGAAGATGACCCCTTTTGATTTTGAGGTCACTGGATCAAAGGTCAAGGTCATAGGGACTTCAAAAAGTTTGTCCACCCATTAACTTAAGATTCTTTTAACCCACAGTCTTCATATTTGGCATGGATGTTGATCATGACTATAAGGTGACCCCTATTGATTTTGAGGTCACTGGGTCAAAGGTCAAGGTCACAGGGACCTTGACAAAAAAAGCTTTTCTTCTCAATTGCTAAAGAATGTCCTGTCCGCAATGTATTGATTTTGACTTTTTCACATTTGAAGCATGTAGAATACATAACTTAGCAATGCACTGGCTTAGTAACCTCAGATTTGGCAGGGAGGTTGTCCTTGAGCTCTAAATGGCCACTGTTGATTCTGACAAAGTGGTATGCGGGGGTATTCACGCCATCATAGTGGCAGTTCTAGTTTAAATTTGCAAAATGTCTAATGTGTTAGTAAGTAATTTCTCAATAACATAATGTATTTTTTACCAGTACCTATTTAAATTAAAAATAAAAAGAGACTTAAAGCTGCATGCCTCCAGATGAACCAAAATATTTCAATAAAACCAAACTTGGAACAAAAGTATTCAGATTTCAAGAAAAGTAAAAAGATTCAAGATAAAAGTAACAATTCCATGTTATGTGCGATTTATGACTGATTTTGCAGTATTTTCAACCTTAGTTCTATTGCATTACTAACACAGGGCTATTTTAGCATATTTTGACCTATTTTTGGTAATTTACATGGTTTGTAAGTGCTGTTTGCAATGTGAAAGTTATTTTCTTTTTTCACTTCACAATATTTTACTTTATAATACATTTTCAAATTTTTCATGAAAATCAGCATGAATCTGGAGGTGTGCTGCTTTAAAGGATTGTAAAATTCCTACAATGGAGGGTTAAAGCAGTCCTTTAATTGTGCATCAACAAGGATGCATTCACAGCCCAAGCATGCATGCAATGCTTTCTAGCACAAAGTACCATATGTTCATCATTTCATTATTTGTGTCATTGTAGTCAGTTTTTTTTACATGGGAATGTGTATAAAAACAAACGATATGACTAGAATGAAAATTATTATCCTATTCTTGTGTTTGATGAGATAATAAGTCAAGGTTGCCATCACTTGTACCTGCTATATATTTTAGTAGGGTATAAATTACTGATAATTATGCAAATATGTAACAATATCAAATTATACTATATAATATGGTCTTAAAACAGCCCCAAACCATAATATGCCTTCAAAAAATATTATTTAAGAAATCAAATTTATTTTCAAAAAGTAATCATATATTCTAACTTGATAGATAAAAGACATTCTTAACTTTCAAGTTATTGCAAAAGTAATCTATCTTAAGATAGAATAGTTTTGCACAAGATTTAGGAATCAAAGGGACATATTTTATAGTGTTAAAGTATTCTAACTCAAGATAGAATAGTTTTGCACAATAAATATTCAGGAAAAAGTAGCTTTTCTAGTGCAATACTAGGCTATGTTAACATGTAGGCAATAAAATGCATACTTTACACTTTTCTTGAAAAAATGAACATGTACACAACTTATTTCTATTTTTTGATAAGATTGGTTGTGATTTTTTTTTCAAAAAATGAAA